ATCAAAGTCTGCGAATCCCAATTCTCCTGCCAGACTCTTGCGCAGAAGCCTTCTGTCAGCTCACGGAAGCTCTGCGTTGAGCACAAACTCGCTCATGGTTCGGATGCAACAATCCAGTAGGACGGGTTGAGTTGAATCAGTCAAACCTAGCGGAAGGATATTACCGGCAGATGCGGCAGATTGCTTTCAAAAATGACCTCTGCTTCCAAGCGGCGCAGGGCCTCGAAGTCCACGTATTGATGCAGTTTCTGCAAACCTCGCGCTTACTCCTTTTCTTCTTTGGGAAAAGGAACACGAGATTCCGTCGGCAACTGCTGCGTCAGCTACTAAAGTCAACAACAATCATCACATTCCAGGAAGCCGGACAGTACTTCACAGATGCGCAGGAGTGCCCCTGAAGGTCAATGTCCTGTCACGGCCACTGTCCGAATGATGCTAGTTTCAGCATTCACGATTCAAACACTGCAGCCGCAATGTGCCACGAAAGGTAGTCATGATTGGTGGTTTTGAACCTGCGAATACTTGCGTACACGAAACTCAGCTTCCAGTACGATGCAAAGCTGCTGACATCCGAGTTCCTGGAGCTCGCCCAGGTCTCCCATGATCACGGTGTCCGTGTCGATGTAGATAAGCCTGGATCGTGGCCCAGCCCCGCCAAACGATGCCCAGCAAGGCCCAGTGCCTGTGATTCACCGTAATAGGCCGATCTGTGCCCGTTCCAAATAAGCCGACAGCCCTGAAGCAGCATCGCCCAACGTTTCTGGCAAGAGACCGGCGAGGAGACTCTTCACCTCCAAGCGATCAAACGACATGGCAACTGGGACGAGGAGTCGCTACGCAGTTGAGTACAATGCTCTTCCTGACCAGAAGAACCCAGTGGACAGGCTCGAGGTCCGACGTAACTTTTGAGTGAGGCATAGGTTGTGCTCCCATGGTCTGATCGCGCTGCTTCAGTTGGCACTGCAAGTATTTGTAGACCGCACGCCGTCTGAGTTTCCAGGCCTTCTTTCACGTATTCGTGAAGGTAGAAGGGCCTTTCGTCCAGAGTGCGGCTGCTCAACTTCTTAAGAGCGAGTGTGGGACAGTCCGAGTGCCTGGCGCAAAATTAAACGGGCTTGCCAGGACCTTCCTGGCCTGGTAGCACCAGCATGTGCCAGCAACTTGCCGATTTACACCGCTCAGTGACAAAGTGGCAAGGCTCAGCTGTGAGTGTCGGCTACCTACCTAGATGCCGGTTCAGAGCCGCACCAATCCAGAGCCTCTATGTCATCTATGTGGCACCCGCGGGCCTTGGAGCTCTTCCGAAAAGTGATGTGTGACCTGGCATGCCGGTTCAGAGCTCGTGAAGCACGATCCGCACTTCTGACAAGACATGGACCGCAGTGCATGCGAACACCCTGCTGACAGCTGCCGCTGCTCTGCTTTTTTCCACAGAGCCCTATCAAGGATCTTCAATCCGTGCCGTAAGCCACGAGATCCGATCCTGCAGGGCTTGATCTGCGACCACCTGCAGGAGCTGTTGATCAAGCGTGGGAGCGACTGGACTCCTAGCTGCTAGATACTGTGACTAAGATGAACTCCGTGATCCGAAGACCCAGCCGAGTCCGCCACTGAGTTCCACTTAAGTAATTGACATGAACGAAGCCGTCAGAGAATAATCGTCACTGTCAGACACCATCAGCTCGACAGAAACACATAATGCAAAAACAAAAGGAGGTGCTCGGATGCATGGGCAGGTACCGGCCTTCACAGCAATGTCAGGCAAGTGGGCTCCTGGATCGCTGGTCGAGGGACTTTACGCTTGTTTTCCATCGAGGCCGGGACGGACAAGCTCTTCAAAGATTGGCGCCTTGGTGGCTGCAAGTGCTGGCTGCAGTATGTCGCAAGAAGCGTGCAAGTCGTAGGAGTCCAAGCAGACGCCTTTTCGTCCCGAATGCAAGCGTGGGTTTCTAGGGCATCCAACGCACGGGTCGGTTGCATCGGCTGGCCAGGGAAGGCAGACCCAGAAACAGTTCCAACAGTCTGTGACGACCTCCCCGGCTTAGTAGTGAATTGCCGGACGGGCAGTGAAACAGCGAGAAGGGTCTGGTACATCAAACATATCTCCTGACTGGATCTCGCTTCAAGCTCAAGATAGATGTGGAAAATGGCGCCCACAGTAGTGCAGGCGATCCTTCAGATTGCTTGCACCGCGCCGGAACAAAACGTTGAGAAGAATCCCAAGCAATGGACATGTTTGTAAGGGTCAAAGCCCAGATAAAAACGAAACGAGCTGGTCTCTTGACATCGACCGGACCCTCTCTGCTTTGCATTACATGCGTCAGCACCACGGAGCTCGTGGAATGAAGTCTAGCTCACTCACCTCAGTCACAGAGCAGTCAGACGCGCGGGAGCGTCGTGTCCCGGGAGAAAACTTCTCTCTGCCTTGGGCCGGGCCACGCTGGTGACCTTCCTGGGCCGTTGCCGCGCACCGCAGCGAGCTTTCACCAGCTCGGCCACTCGCTCGTCATGCGCATTCGCACCTGGACCATCATGGGGCCGGGGCCACGCTGGGCCACGCTCCGAAAAAGCCTCTCAGGCCCGGACCGGGACCGTCTGACAACCGGCTCGGGCCGAAGTCGGACCAGCTGGTGGTGCGCCACATATCCGTCACATGCAGATCAGGCAGCCCCTGACACAAGTCAAGAGAACGACTTCGACGATCGACGATGAATTCTACGGCCTCTACAGTTACATCATCTACTGTGACAATAATGCCCGAGAAGCTCGAGATCTGGGCCGCTCTGACTGCGCCGATCTCGGTGGGTCCGTCATGGGACGATTCGCGCCTGGATCGGGTCTTCCATGGTCTCCAGTGCACACAGCGAGACGCTTGCAGACAAGGATCCTGCGTCGGGAGTTGTCGGTTGGAAATCGGGCGGCAGCCAGCGTCCTGAGGTAGCCTGTTTCCAGCCTCTGCTGCTGTAGGCAGAGCTGATGCTTCCCTGGCCGGGAAGAGTCTCGCCCAGCCGCCGCTCTGAAGATTTCGAGGAGCTCTGACTTTGCCTGTGTTCAGACGTGTGGCTTTCACAGGCCTTCACAGCTCTCTGGTTTAAGCATTTTAGCTGCAACTGCTGCTTCACTTTGCAGAGTATGCTGCGGGAAGTTTGTGAAACGTTGGGTCTACTAAGTCTACTACACGCCACGTCCTACTGGCCCACTCTCCCATGCCTGAGTTTCTCGCTCTCGTACGCGTCGCTGCGCGCATTGTTTTCCTTCTGGATGCTTTCGCGGTAGCAAACAGATGCCGATGCAGGGCTGAAGCTTTTCGCTGAAATGCCAGGGAAGTAATTCTTCAACGCGGCCGGATCCGGCGGCTGGCCGAAGAAGACCATGGCCGGGAAGGCACCGCAAGGTCTCTAAGAAACACAATTTTGGACCTTCGTTTCAGAGCGGCTCACAACATCAAAAGGCGACTCCTTTGAAGCCCAGAGAGAATTATTAGAAGAGAACCATTTGCTATCGGGGCCGAGGCAAGCTCCGTTGTGGTGATGAGGTGGAAGATAAGCCTGCCGTCTGCAACAGCAAGTAGCAACAGATGATCGAGAGAAGCTGGAAAGGCTCGCTCCCCGAATTTGTTTGCCCCCAGCATTGGTTCTTCTTACCGACGTTGTCTTATGTTTTACTGTTATCGTTGACAAGACAATTACCTTCTCAACCTAAGTACGCGCTTTCTCTTCAACCCGATAACGGGGATGCCCATCATCCCTCGGGTGTTCTACGACGCTACGATTGGCACACGGCCTGTCCGGGCTCGCCGCATTCGTCCATGCCTTGGGAAAAAGCAGCACATGTCTTTCCAACATACCCGGGAGCAAACGGATTCTTACTCTGACCTACAGTCTGCAACCGGAGACTACAAATCCAGGCATGCAGCGACACCTCAGCTTCAAGCCGACTGGATTGCCACTGCGGCGGCACGCAAATCGGCGCTGTCGCTGGTCAGGCAAACCTGCCATCAATAGCTAGACGGAGGATGGTGTAGCGACGGGTTGCCGAATACGTCACATGACTTAGATCTTTCGGCCCCATGTAGAAAACCTCATGCAGGCACACATGTCCCCTGCTCTCGAGAAGAAATACGTCGGGAAGGCATGAATGCTGTCTGTGCTTGCCGAGCGGCCTTGGCCACTGGTAATGGCTTTTCAACTTTTTCAGGGTATCTTCTATCTTAGTTCCTGAACTCCAGGAGGTCTATGGAGTCTTGAGTATTGAGTATTTAGTATTTACCATCACCGACTCAGGCTCTCCTGCCCTGGCACCCGGCTGAGCTCCGAGCCGGCTCTGCGGAGGCTGGACTGCCGTCTCAGCCATCCCTTCGCAGCTGGAGCCTCAGAGCACCTACGAACGAACCGAAGCGCCTTCTTCCCTCGCCCACCCCTGGGAATCTGCAACCGGTTGCCGCCTCCTTGTCTAACTAGGGGCCACCGTCACTACCCTGTCCCCTTACATAATGCTGCATAGTCTGGGGTCGCGACCAGGACAAGGGCTGCGAGGATGAGAACCACCAGGCACACGGCTCCTGCAGTTGAGCTTCGATGGTTGGCTGTGGGAGTAATTCGTACGTCACAGTCACGCTAAATTAACCTAACCATCTACCGCCAAGGCAATTTGCCAGAAGTACACCGCCCGGCGAGACCGAGGCATTGGCTGCAGAGGGGGTGCACATGGCCTGTGCTACTGGCCACGGGGACTTACAAGATCGAATCGCCTTTCAGCCCCAACGTTGGGGTACCGCATCTCGACTGACCAGACTTTTCGCAGAATGGCTCGTCGGTCAAACCCCCCATCCAAGGCTCAAGTAACAGTAACCCCGTTCCCATGTCATCGCACCGCTCTTTGAAAAAGGCAGCCACATCGCGCTTCGGCTCTAGCATGCATCGAAGGTTTCGGTCGTCATCAATGGCTTGACGACAGGGAGCTTTGAAGAGTCAGCGCAGACTAGCAGACGACGTGACCCACTACGATCTATAGGACCGAGGCCTAGGCCTAGTGGCCGGGCAGCAACCCTCATACAGGTGTTGGGTTTGGCTCGCAGGAGATGCGTTCCACAGCATCATTAGCTTCCTCGCAGCACCTTGTTCAACCTTAGCCAATTGTCCCAAATCGCAAAATGTATCCGTCCTTTCAGGAGCCAGGGCCTCACAAGACCTCGGCAAGAAGCTCGCAACCAGCACCGGCTCATGAGCTCAGGCTGAGGCTCGGTCGTAAGGTCTTCTCGACCGTCCCACCCACGGTCGTGTTCTGTGACCTCCTCCTGGAGAATCCGCACCGAACCTCACGGCTCCTCCATGCCCCCTCGCAGTCCTCATGGCTTTGGCAAACTGGCCACGAGCTTTGCATGGCTGGTTGCATCTGGAGGCTTGTCACACAGGTGGCTGTTCTTAATCGCAGTGGCTGCAGGAGCAGCATGCAGGAGCTATGCGGGCATGCTTGCGAGATGTAGTTACCGTTTGAACCTACAGGCAGTTCTCAGATCTCGTCTCGGTCAACGTCAGCAACATTTGCTGGATGGAAAGGCAAGATGCACAACAAGCAACAAGAGCGAAGCAGGCACGATCGCTTTCCGAAGCCGCACTCGGTCAGAACTTCCAAATGCCCGTGCGCATGGCCAAACTGCGGAGGATGGCTAGTCCTTCAAGACGCACAGTGCTGTCAGATGAGCGCGGGAACTCCGAGACGACACAGTACCGAATATGCTTTATCACGCTTTCGCGACCTTCTTCGAATCCGGCCAACCGGCATCGTAGCCCTTCCTGGCACGTCCGATGTGCTTTCCAAGCTCGCAAATCTACTCCACGAGCCTTTGCCTCTGCTCGGAAAGCACTGTTCCTCTGTGATATGGCTGGTGTGGCGATAAGCACCTTCAATATTGCCTCTGATCAGACAGATATTGCCACCAGGAATGCTTGTCGCATTGTTTCTGCTTAAGAGTTTAAGCTTAAATGCATCCAAGCCAATTTCTGCTTCCGTTGCATGTCATCTGGGACTTTCCTGGGTGCTCCCCCGAAGACCACGGGAAAGTGTTAACAAGCGAGAATTTCGCGAAAATTGCTACTCAATTCTTGTGGACTTGAGGGTTCACCGCTGGTGCAGGAAGCAACTGCCCCAGCTCTCTTGTTGCTCATGCTGACCACTCTCTACTCCCTGCGCGTTCACGCGTGCACCAGAGGAGTGATGTGCTCAGGCGCGTGTTCCTCTCTGTTTCCTCTCCTGCGCCATAGTACAATGGGACCCCTCTTCAAGCAGGCCGGTGCTGCAGTCCACAGTCTTGCTCCGACGTGAGAAACGCCTTCAAGTATTGACAAGAATGGCTCAACATGATAGTGCCAAGTAGCATGTTTGCTCTCTACCTTGCAAAGGTCCAGACCCACCAGAGGCTGGAACAGTTGACCAAGCGCCTCTCCTACACGAAGGGCACAGCTAGGTGTATCACGGAACCTCTGTGGCAGCAGAACTACGAGCGTTGCTCCTGGCCAGCCACGCAGTGCAGGGCAATCTTCGGTTCACCGGCCCGAGACCAGCCTTCTGACACAAAGAGTCTCTGCGTGTCCGTGTGTGTGGCAATTGTGGCAAGGGTCAAAAGCACAGCAGACCAGAGCCGGCCTTGGCCTTGGTGAGGAGCCGGCACCTGCCACGGAGTCCACGCACTCGGAATGAAAGCGAAAGCAACCTAGAGGAGGCCCTCATAATACACATAACATCGGAAAACACATGCGATGTCCCAGAGAGCTCCGAAGCCGGCTGGATGCACTGGTAAATTACTTTCTTCTTTCCTTTCCCGCCCTATCCAAGCCCGCACAAATTCCGACCTTGGGGGCCGGGGGGGCCGGGGGGCGGCCCCCCCGGCCCCCGGCCCCCCCCGCCCCCCGATTTGGCAAGAAGGAAGTATCTTAGAATAAACGTGCTTTGTTGCACCGGTCTGGACTTGAGTTTAGGACTGCAACACTCTGTAAGAGCCTCACTCTCGAACGATTCCTGCTCTTCACAACCCTCTTACTCGAATCCAAGCGGGAAGATGAGGGAAGCATGAACTCTGACTAGGGACAACTGAGCACACATGACCCTTATAGCACGCCCACCATGCAAATGCTGAACCTGATCTGCCAAAAGGCACTTTGAATAAGGCTGTCATCTCAAGATCCCCTATTGGATGAGTTTGATGAGTGAGCATCCAGAACGAATCGCGCCGTGCTAGGGCTGCTAGGGCTTACACAAGTACATCAGCCCAACCCGTGCCTCTGGCCAAGCGCACAGGGATGGGGATCTGGCGCAAAGTAGGCAAGGAAAAGACTGCACACCCTGCGCATGAAAAGGTACTGATGCGGTACTGAAGTCACTGGCAGACCTCTCTGAGAACAGCCAGGGCTTCTCGGGGCCACTGAAATGGAGCCTAAGCAGTGCGACAGGTGCTGAATGGCAAAAACCGTTAAACTACAGGCTGCGAAAAATCGCTCCGAGGGCCTGGCAACTTTGCTCCAGCCTGCGTAGAAAAAAGGACTCGGCTCCCTCCAAATACGCGTGACCGAGGTTTTGCTTTGGGGTTCCTGTGCTTTCGTTCTCGGGAGCTGAATAAATGACTCTGCTTAATCCGAGGGTCTGATTTACAAAATGGCCATAAATGGTCCATATTCAAAGAAGTTTTTTCGGGCCGGAGAGGAGTTTCCATTGCGGCAGGATTTCGTCTGAGGAAAAGGGTCCACAATTCAAGAAAATTATTTTGCAGGTCTAAGGTTTCAGGGTGCACAGCTTCAGGCTTGCACTTCATTTCTGCCCCCGGAGCTGCTCGCCGATCTCCAGTTTGCAGGGACAGTTGGCTTGAAATACAATCCTATTCTTTTTCATAGAGCCCAAAGAGCCCCAGCAGCCAAGAGATGGCTTTCCATTAATGCGGCCCCCGGCATCCTTATTCCGAGGGAGGGCCCCCCCCTACTATTTCGACCCTGGGATTCTGCCATCTCCTTGCCCTTCGTAAGAATCGCAACATGACCAGGGCATGTGGCCACCGCCTATGCCCATCTCCTATGCCTCCTGAAAGCATGTTGGATGATGGTATTTGGCTTTTCTTTCAAGCCCAAAGGACAACAAGCGATCCGCTGAGCGATCGCCGCTCCCTGTTTCGAATGTATGCAACCGCCTAGTTTTTAATCCGGGCTTCTCCGTGTCTATATCGGTGCCCACGCAGCCGCATCACGCGAGGGCGCGACATGTGTCTCATGAGAAGGTGTGTCCTCCTGTCCTGTGCCCCCAGTGTATTCGCAATGTTTCGTACGGGAAAAGCGGATTCGGGATCTCCGCTAGTCGAGACAATTAGTGTGCTGGCCGCTCCGGTTGGATGCCGAACAGCTTCTTATGGCTCGTGTGAGAAGCTCGCCGGAGGCACCGTGCAAAGATGTAATGCAGGATGCAGCCGCCCCGAAGGGCTAATTCCCAAGTCCTCGGCATGTACACCAGAGTGGCCGAAGCTACGCATGAAGCTCTCCAGCTGCAGATTCTTGGAGTTGTGGTTCCTGTCAGCTCTCTGCAGGGTAAGGCCTCGACCAAGCGTGGCATGTCCTGAAGGGTTTCAAGAAGCTGGACTTGCGGATGTCGCTACCGACCGCAAGAAACGACGGACCCAATGATGCGGCGTTTGCTGCCCGATGATCGGTAGCAGGCTCTGCACACAGCACTGTTGTGTTCGCTGCCTCTTGGGTAAAGCCCGTCTTGAGCAAGGTCTTTGTCTCTCGGGCTGTTAGCTCCTCCCATGGCAGTCTGTTTGCAGACTCTCTCTACTGTTCAATCATTCCTTTTTGTTACAACCTTCCTCTTGAGACATGTCACACTGCAATCTGCTGGCTGCAACAGATCTTCATTGATGCGTCCTCTGATCCCAAATCCGCACACGCCCAGGCAGGATCCAGCTCTACGAATGCATCCTGCAAGTACAGGGGCCTATGAACGAATGGGCAAGAAGTACAACTCGGCTGCTTCAGGCGCTTCTGGGCAGATATGGCAAGGTCCAGCGACAGCATCAAGGGCGGCGTGATCAGGCTCTTCACCCAAAGGTCCTTGAAGGTTTCAAGCCTACAATACTACTACAGTAGCATTCAACATCTCAATCTGTGCAAACTGCAAACGCCCTCCCTCACCCTCCGTTCATGGCCCTGTTGCATGTCGTTGGTCATGGAGCAGTGCAGCAGCACCTGCTGAGTTGTCACTTCCTACCTCGCCCAGTATTCTTTGATGATGCTTTTTGCCGTTTATGTCTCCTGACAACCTTGAATCGCTTCAACTCGGTCCTCCTCCAGCGGCTGATCTCGGTAGCGCTGCAGCCAAGTGAGGATCTTGCCAGAGACGTTTTCGGCCCTGGCGAGAGGATACTCAAGCAGTTCAGCCGGAATCCAGCTGCATAGCTTGCACGTAGATTTCCCGACATGCTGAGTGCCAGCTGCCATCTGCGCGAGTCGATGACCATCAGCGCAGGGCTCAGCGCGCAGTCCTGGAATTGGAACATCTGCTGCGTGCGACTGGTGCCACGGTAAGCCCCAAACTGGGCCGATAGTCCTGCGGCTTGACATTCCCGGGGAGCTCATACCTTGTTCGACAAACTCTCGAAGCGATTCGCTCAAGGGCGCAGGCCGCACAACAACCGTGAAGCACTTGCGCATGGCTCGTGGGATCTACCCATTGCTGCCATGTGACTAGTGTCATTTTGTGCAAGCAAGTATGTACAGACAGGACGCAGACACCGGGTTGCAAGCATGCGCTCAACATGTCTAGCATGTGATAGGGCACAGTCCATGTTTCAGCTGCTGGTAGACTGAGCTACGTGCCCCTGCAGAAGATCGAACTCCAAGATTTCAGAGAGCTGGATGTGACAGGACCTATGCAGGATGATAATGTTTCCTTCGCACCTGCCCTGATATCAACCTGCCAGATCGCCATCAAGCCTCAAGTGCATGAATGACTGCCACACTGCCACACCATCGAAGAGCCAGAGCGGCTGTAGCGGTGTGTCTCGACTACTACTATACCCACCTGCCATCTTTCACCTGTCATGCTTGTCTTCTCTACCGTACCGCATGCATGTATGAATGTCCGCATGCGTACTGCGCACCCCGAATTATGCGAGCATATGCCGGTGCACGAACCCGTTCTTCCTCCGCTCTTGCGTACATACTCGCATGATGCATCATGAATCATGATGCATTCCACGTGCCTGCGTGTGCATGCGCCTGCATGCAGCAACGCAGCTACAGGCACGCCACAAGAACACCTTTCATGTCTTCTTTCTACTGTTTCTTCACCCTCCCGGTCGGAACTCCTTCTGAATCTTTCTGACATAATCCCCATTCACTCATATTGACAAGGTGCCTGCCTAGCAGCTGCCAGCGGGGTCCCCTTCAAGATGCGAGAGAATTCGCACATGATGAAGACAGCATTCTACCTGCTTTGCACAAGGGCATCCGCTACCTTCAAGTCGATCTCGGCCAAGGTGCTGATGTCACCCAGCACCACAGTCTCGGGATCCTGTGTGATACTGACAGAAACCTCCCAGACTGCAGAAGCGCGGCTCACTACCTATTCGAACCGGAGCAGCACTCTGCAGTCTACCTTCTGTTTGGACGAAAGGGTGGCAGTCAAGCGGCAACCGTGAAAGACTCAAGCAGGCTAGAGTGCTCTGAGCAGGCCGCGAGATAGACCAAGCGCGATGCTCTTCCTCGTAAGCTCCTGCGTGCAACATCCACGATGGCCATGCCATGGCCGCTCGAAGGTACAGTCGTCCGATGAGTGGAGCTGCCACAGACAGCGCTTCGACGGAAGGTGCAACACTTGTGCTCGCTTTCGCTGGCCCCTTCTGCCCACAACGAATCCCAGCAATGCGGAGACAGCCACACACGGGACATCGCAAGGTCCTTCCCAAAAACCTGGGCCGTGCAGACACAGGCTACTCACAGGCTCTAGGTCCGTTCTGGCATCCAAGTCCCAGTGCCACTGCAGTGACACTCTTGGAACCCGGCTCAGGCAAAAAGAAGCGGACGAAGTGAAAGATACTGGAGTCTCTGCTAAGGACCTGCAGGCTTGCAGCTCTGTGCCTGATAGTGTATTTATAATCTTTCAGCACAAACCCATCCGGATCGATGTAGAACGTAAGGTACATGAAATTACAGATCACAGGTCGGAATGCTGTGCAAGTGAGACCCGCCTGTGAAGAGGCTCTGAAAGTCACGAATGCGCCTCAATGCGCGAGGCTCACATTTGCATCCGGACTGTCAGACTGGGGATGCTTGAGGATCGTGGCGGCTTGCGTATCTTCTCAAACCCCGGAAGAGAAGAGCTACAGTAGAACAGCCATGCAGTCGGGCACTGACACGAAAACAAGCCGATCCGACTGCCATGAACGGAGCTAAGCCACTGAGTTTCTTCAACATTCGGTCGTTGGCGTGGACCTGCAGCAGGTTCGTCATGGTGGCAAGCAACTTCATAGCTGTGACAGCTCGCGGCCTGCACCCTCGCCTCCGGCAAGTAAGCCGAGAGTTGCCTTCGAGAGAGACGCGGAGCGCTCTGAGTCTCTGCTCGGTTTCGGGGCCCGGGCTCCGCAATGATCCTTAGAGCAAAGAGCAGGCCAAGCCATGTCATGCGAAGCAGGGCTTTCCAACTCTGGCCTGATCTCCGAACCTTCCCACTCTTTGGCCAAGATTCTGCTGAAGGTGAGGCGAGGTTATGACGTGAAACTGGACCAAATCAGGGTTCTCTGCCTCGGCAGTCCCCGTGCGGGATGGAGGCTCTGTTTGTCGACATCGGACGTTGGATGGTACCAGTACAGCACTGGGGTGACCTAGAAGCCTGTCAGACCTTCACCGGCGTACCAAGGCCGCTGCGTGCACCCATGCAGAGTGGATGGCCACTGCAAGCGGTCCTTCTGGCATTTGTGCATCATGACTAAACTCGAACATGGCAACGAAGGATGCTGTTGCTTAGTATACTCACCTTGTCAGCAGCTGCACATCAGAACAAGTGGAACGCACTGGGACCAGAGCGGAGCTCAGAGTCATCGATGCTCAAGACTACCTGGAAGCACACGGCAACAAAGTTTCTGCATCCTGAAGCTCAGCTGTGTAGAGAGAATTCGGTGCCATTCGATTGAGCCTTCAAGCTCTACAGTGCAACTAGTTGCCGCAACCACGTTGCCAAGCATTGCAGCGCATTCGGCGCTCGCCACTCAAGACACGACCTACCACTGGGGTCCAAGTCCCAGACGTGGGTCAATTGAGCGGCCTCGGCCAAGCGCGAATGGAATGCATTCTTCCACTATAACGCTCTCTGACGCCGTCGGCAGCACGGCAGGTAGCACATTCTGCGAAGCAGACCCTATAGCAGGCTTCTTCATGCAAGTCGCGCCATCGCCAGGCAGGGTTTTGAAATGGAGATGCCTTGCACTCGATTGAGCATACAGAGGTCTCTGCAGCTTGCTAACAGGCTTTGAAAAGCGATGTTAGCTGACCACTGCACTGGCATGCTGTGGCACTGGGCCCCTGAGCCTGAATGTAAGGAAAAGGGCTGTCAGCGCCAGGCCTGGTTTGCAGCTCAAGGGATTTAGGAAGTGAGAGCTCTGCAGAAAGCCATGTGTGTTTTTTGATGACTGCGGGCCTGCCAAAGTCAGCGCCCATAGCAATCGGACAATCATGCCACGTCATGCTGCTTGGGTCAGTCCTAGCTAGTTTTAGGTTGCGCAGATCCGTGGACACGCATCACACTTTGGATGTAACACATGGCAACAGACCAACACTAATGTTTATAAGCTCGTGGAAGCATCTGCTGCTGAGCCAGTCCAGTGATACCCAGTGATACCACATCGCGAGCCTGCTCGACAAGTTACATCGAGGCCACGACAGGTCGCCTTAAATGGGAAGTAGTGGAGCGACGCAGGCAGCCAGCCTTTTCGGCAATCTCCCGAATGTTGGCCAGGTTCTTGCCCAAGATGTACCTGACCATCTCTCCGAGGCGCCGCCCTCCCGAAGAAAACGAGACTGCTCGGAGGCTCCCGGCCCGACTTCGTCAACGTCGAAGGACAGCTTCCTCCTCTTGTACTCAAGCTGCCTGAAGAGGCCGCCGCTTAGCGCTTCCAAGCGCTTCCTGTACGCGGACTGCAGCGACTCTTCCGGAGCCTCTGCGTCGCGGCTACCGCATCGGGGTCTTGCCCAACGACACGCACCTGGAAAATCCGGGAAAGGGCCGCTTTTTGAGGGTAGAATGCTTATGCACCAGTAAGGAAAACCAACCGTGGAAACGGATGTGTGCGGCCAACAGCTCTTTTAGCTCGAAAGTGTTGACGACTGAGCGCCCGGCGATGGCTTTGTTCCTCACATGTTGAAGCACGATGCGTGGATGCACTTCGTAAAGTATATGCCTTTCAAAAACAATCCCTGGCACGTCCTGTCTTGTGGGCACTTCAGCACCTGCACTCGCAACTCTTGAGACGACTCGCAGTTTTCGGATGATGGACTGCTCTAGTGCTGACAGAATTGAAAGGCAAAACGATGCAAAACTTGAAGTGTGCATTTGTCTCGATGTTCAACTGCACAGGTTTCGAAACACCATGTAGCTCGCAAGTAAGACGCGACCGGAAATCATTCAATCATCGACCATCCTAATTTGTCTACGGCTGAACTCTCTCTAAATTCAATGAAAAGCAACGACCCAAACATCCACCACTGTGGCGGTGATGTACATATCCACCACGGTGGCGGTGATGTACATATAAGCGATTAGTCGAGCGGCAATGCAACTTTCATTGTGCCTTGTTAAGTCGCATCTTGCTGGCCCGTGCGGAGTCTCTTGCAAGAACGCTGCTCAAAACACCCCACCATTGAGTTCCTTATGCCTCGAATCGTCATCGCTATCCTTTACTCTTTACATGTCTTTACCACGCCTTACTCGGTGCCAGCAATGTAAAACCACACATGGAATCTACAAGAACAGGACTGACTCCTCACAGCTTCCACTCAGTAGCAAATAACTTCCACAGGCATTAATCCGAAATTCAAGCACCTGGTAAACGAACCTAACAAGTCATGGCACGGGTGACATCACATCACATACATCACCCAGGGATTCATGAAGAGGCAGCCTCTCAAAGCAGCCATGAAGTGAACTTGTGAGTTTAGGCCGACGATGAAAAGCAGGCTTCGAAGGTTGAAAACAAATGGGCTCTCTCTGCAACATGGTTCCCATATGAATGTGGTCCATGTGTGAAAAGCAATTCCTGCTACGAAACGTCTTCGACCTTGTTGCAACTTACATGGGCATGCTGAGTGGCAGTCATATATACCGCGTCTTGGTTCTACCATCCCCCCCCCTCTGCTTGCAACAAACATACCAATCACTCTGGATGTACTGTTCCGGATCACGGAAGAGTGGTGCCAGCCAGCCTCGATCCCAACAGACAGCTGGTCCTGCGCCGTCGCGAAGAATCGAAATTGAGTGAGCGAGGTTCTGACAGAAACGACAACTCGGGCTTGGAGGTTTCGATGAAAACTCTCGTTCACCGCCCTCAACTCGACAGTCCGGGCCTTGATATCTTGCAGTCTCTTGCCAGACCTGAGGAGCTGGCATGTCAGCATTTGAACTCGTTTGCCACATCTTGTAGTACGGCTTGGCATGCCTGTCAATCCCCACGGTCGGGAAAAGAGACAATGCAGACATGACGTCATGGGCATGGCAAACATTCTACCCGCTGTCATTGTGACATGTGGAAGAGCCTCGTGGCATGGTGCTGAACATAGCTACATGCAGGCATACATGCGTATCTATCTACCTACCCCTATCTCCATATCTCTGTGTCTATCGATTGTACACATGTGTATATATATATATACACACATAAACACTGATGTATGTCCTACACATGTGTACATATATCTGTAAGTATATAATTGCGAACGCATATATACTCTTGTACGTAAATAACGCACGCATATATAAATACGTGTATGTATATCTACATACATACATACATACATACATACATACATACATACATACATACATACATACATACGCATGTCGCGCGTTTGTTATGCACATGCACACATGTATGTATATTAAACATGCGGGTGTGTTTATGTTTGCTTTATTCTCTGCTGTGACGAGTTTGTGTCCTTGAAGCTTGAAGTCGTTGGAAGCACATGTGTGCCCGTGTTGCTAGCTAGCGCATGAAACAATGCCTTCTGTGAAACCAAAGGAATCTTCAGTACTCTGCTGGAAAATCGGTTGGAGTCGATGGGAAACCATGCTGGACCTGCGCCAGTCTTCCTTGCGAGGACTGTTCGCTGCCCTTTTTGCTGTCACAGTTCGGCCCTGCATCGTCACTATCTCAGGATCATGCCAGACAGAGAGGCAGGCTAGAGTTTCGAGTTGGAAACGGGCTCACTGTGTGATCACTGGCTTGGACATTATTGGATCGTTTTGTCGGCATGCATGCCGTGACGGCTTCTGAGGGAGGGCGGCATAAGGAGCAGGCCGACCTATGATCAGCTGCATGATGTCCATGTCGACCGGAAACTCTATCACCTTTCCCTCCTTTTGGAGCAAACTGGCTTGGAGACTGCGATCCATGTCATGGCACAGATGCAAGACAAAGCCCAAGAGAGGCAAACTCCTCCCGCGAAGCGCCCTCGAGACAAGACAGGCGCTTTTCCTCAGCCAGCTTCAATCCGCATCGAACATGTCCAGAAGGGCTGGATACCAAGAAAGACCGCAAGACAGGTCTATTGGATTCCGGTGTGTGCTTCTCTGTTTCATGCTCCGTGCCTGGGCTTTCTTAGATGGCTTCATCAGTTGAGGGCGGTGCACAGGATAATTTCGTTAAACTGTGCGATCACACCAGCGTTTCTGGCTTTGACTCCGCTTTGCAGAAAAGGCACCAAGTCCGCTTGCTGTGCCCGGCACTTGACGATTTCCGCTTGGTTCCAGAAGTGCACGGTATGCAACAGCTTGCTCGCCCGGGTGGTAGAGCTCCTGGCGGTACAGACTTCGCCACGGCAGTCCGAGCAGCCCTGCGGGTCCCTGCAGTCCGTCCTCTCACCGGCGAGCTTCAGCTGACGACGACCCGACTCACAGCGCCGTACGCCGAGGCCCAGAAGGTTGCACTCCCGCTGCAAAGTCATCAGCCATTCCTGGTAGCCATCTCACAATTCCGTGTTTTCGAAATGCTTTGTAACACAGTAACTCAGCCACTACGCGGATGAGGAGCTGTGCGGGCGGCCTGCTTGAGCCCCTCGGTCTCGGTGTCGGGGTGTGCTTCTTCAGTTCCTGCAGCGTTGCCGTACATTGACAGGCTGTGTATGCAACACGGGACTGGTAGAGCGTTGAAGTGAAACATAAAGCTCGTGTATGCATCTGCAACCGCCACTTTGCTGCACGGCGACGCCACTGCACTGATAAAAGACCCGCCTTCGGGGCAGTCGAGTACAACCTCTTCAAGAGCCATGGAGCTGAGCGCCTGAAGTGTCACAGTGACGCCATACCGATCTTACCGATCTTGTAGCAACCCTTGTCTGCACCCGCCCGGCCTCAGTCCGACCGGGGGCGCGAAGCTGATCAGGGAGGACCAAGAGGTCCTGTGATTCGCTCTGCCCGCTTTGCAACAAGAGAATGAAGAGAGACAGTAAGTTGTCGTCCATGTTGTCCGCGGAGATTGTTCATTTGCTGACATATCATATGCGACGGAAAGCGGGAGGGGCCTGAGATGAAGACATAGCCGCGCAAGCTAGGTGATGTACTCTCCAAGCCAGGGATTATGATTATGATTAAGTTAGTGAGGACATCATCTTCAGGCGACACCAAGCCATCAGCATTCGTTCTGATGTCTGCATTGCGCACGCATTGTAATCCACTCGGTTGAAGTGACGGTCGCTTTTTGCTAGGATGTCGTGGCCTTTCAGGTTCTCCACTCGTTGAATGGATGGCCTCGTCGATCGGTATGTGCACGGTTGCAGAGCTGTTGAAAACGATGATGAACATAACCCACAAGCATGCTGCACTATGTCTTGCAAAATATGTTTCGTTGTTGCGACTGTCCCGACGATCAAGCAATCAGTGCTAAAGGTCAGTGTCCACGACTTTTGTACGTCGCAAGCAGCAACAGCAAGGAGAGCAGCGCAGGCTACAGCAGTGCCCTTGTAAAATTGCAGTCAGAAGACTTAGGCCGAAGACAGGTCTCAGCTTGCGCCTTGCTTGCTACACGCGGACCCTCTCGTCGTTGTTGGAAATGCGCAAAACTAGGGAGGAGGACTTGCACGGATATTCGGAAACTCAAACAAGCCCTATGAGTACACGCAAAGTACTTGTGCCCTTCCCCTCTCCCGGATGCAGAGATAGCCAGGAGCCGGCCTCTTGGCGCCCCCTGCCCTCCAGCGAAACCAGAAAATATGGGCCGCAAATCGATCGCACAGTGGCAGAGATGTATGATGCCGGTTTGGAGGACGACGCCGGCATCTTGACCTGTGCAAGCTCTATTCGTTCCAGCATCCTGCCAGCATCCTGCATCCACCCCTGCTCAAGCTGTGCACCTCCAACCGATCATTGACTTTCGCGGAGAGAGGCTGATCTTCCTTCGTGTCGCCGAGCTTCGGCTTGCAAGCGACCCTCACCTTTGCCACACAGGCTTGTCGGGAGATGACAGAAGCAGCGAACAGGGAAGCTTCGTGCTTTCTTTATGCATTCTTGCCCAAGTTCCCAGAAAAGCTCTGTTCGGAACCAGCGTGAGCCGTGCACAAACCTAAATCGAACACATACTGTCACATACTATCCTCAATAAGCAGGACCCTACCCTGTGCACAAGCCCGGGGTGAAGCAGCAATGTCAAGCGTTGCTTCAAACTCCTCCTACAGCCCGCAGATTCTATGAGCAAGACGCAAAATGCCTCTCTGCTATCTTCCAGCATGCTTGCAAGACCCTGTACATGTTGATGTGCCCTCCACAACTCCCTGGCCTGCGTTGTCCTCACCTCGATAACACGATCCTGCCACTGCCTGTGCGGAGTGAGAACACGTGGGTCATCACGGGCATTCCGCGATTCCTCCGCAAGCTGCTCCGATCCATCACTGGGCTCCGCGCACATTCACGCATCCTTTGGACGCCAGGCCGCGGAATTCGGTGATGAACCACTTGTCGGCTGAGTCGAAGAGGGCTATCTCCACCGGGGCTCCAATGAAGTCGAAGGACTGGCTCGCGGCTGTCAGTCGCTCTTCCGTGTACGTGCCGTGAAACACATCGCGACAAGCAATCGCAAGTAAATGCCAGTATTCAAGCATCCACAGAGGCAACCTGGACATCTCCGTCTGGTGGAGGCTTTCCCATCTTCAAGAAGCACGGCTTGGGTCAGCTCTCATGTCAAATCGCGCCGACATTGTCGGCTTACACTGATATCTGCTAGGCTGCTAGGGCACAATGAAGTTTACTCTGCTTCATGTTGCCTCGGCTGCTTCTGCTGGACATCACTTGGCCATGGTGAGGAGGCCCGATTCTTCGGCTTTCAATTTGATGCTGTTGGTTGCCAACCATCTTCGATTGCTTTGTTCTGCGCCTGTCTGCATCATGAACAGCTGGCGCTGCAACATTTCAGAAGATGCATGGCGTCGTGGAGGAGGGCGCCCGGCAAGAGTTTTCACTAGTGAAGCATGGAGACAACGTCGATTGTGACGACATCGCCGCCCGAGTTTGCCGAATGCACCCGACAAGAGAGATCGCTGAAGGGGTAGTGTAAATACTGTGTAGTCAATCGATGATCTGCAAACAACCAACTTTCAGCAACATACGGACACTGTCTCTGCCATCACCTTCGGCGACTTCAGCTGTGAGACATAACGGACAAGATTCACGGAAACTTGCCGAACTACATGAGCCACCTCTAAGAGCCGGCAAGCTTTGCTTGGAAGGAACACCGAGCTCGCCAGGCGTCAGCGGCGCCAGCTGTCAGCTCTTCCATGCATCCTCTTTGAGCTTGCAGCTGGTTGGGCTTGCTGCGAGTCTCACACGTGTGTCAGACATCTTTGCCCTGTGTTCAGCTCGATGACCGCTGAGAGAGCCTCGTCTGGCAGTGGTCTGCGGTCAGATCTATCATGCAGAACCCATCCTGAAGATAATGCACGAGGTCATGTTGAAACACCGGCTACACTAGAACGGCACGTGCAGTGTGCAGGATCACAGTGGACCAGAACACACATCGTCTGCATACAGTAGCGAGCTTGAAGTCCTTGCAACACGAGACGATCTGAAACTTGATGATCTTGACAGCAAGCGTGTGGAACACACGCACACACACCACAATTGGAACACTTCTTGTTGGAGATGGCCTCGCTGACTGTCTGCAGCGTGTCCGTGGTCGATCCATCGGAGTTTCTCATCAGCAACGCACCTGCCTGCCACATTCACTCTTGAAGCAAAGGGGTGCCTGTGCATTGAACAAACACTTGCGGCATTCGCGAGGCCCTCCATGTCCGAAGTTCGATGGGATTCACAGACCCTGAACTGAGCAAGCCAAAATCTAGCGAAGTCATGTGCCGGGGCGATCCCAGCAGCGCAGCTCTGAGGAACAAACATCCTTTGCAGGCAGACTATGGTCACTATAGCAGAGTGCCCGTAATTCAGACACCATGGACGGACCAACAGTCAGTTACGAGTGTGAAGTCTCTGGCCTTCAGCGAAATGAAGTTAGCAACTGCTTTCTCCTCCGTGACAGGATGCAGGAACTTGCCCCGGCACAAGTAGGGCCACAGTTTCAAACTGAAAAACGACGAGTACAAACAGGCCACCCGAGGCCGTGTCACAGCGAGGCTCTCTGGGCATCTCTTGGCTAAGAGCCCGACCACGGTTTCAGATGTGCCATAGTCCAGCTCGAACGATGCATGTGCACCTCACGCTAGAGTGCAGAGCACGACTGCACAGACAGAATGGACCTGACCTTCTTAATTGTTGGTTGTAGAAGAAACACGATAATATTGCCCGCAAGTCCCAACAGAGCTCTTCATTGCCGTGGAGATACAGTAAAAGTCGAAGCCTCAGCTTTTCTACTGCTTGGAAGAGCCGGGCCTGAATCCAGCACCATCTGCTTTTTCTGCACGAAGTCGATCTTGTCCATGTTCACAAGTTCGAGTTGAAAAGCTGGCCGAAGGCGAGACGAGGCTCATGTTGACATGTTAAGGACATGATGGCCAGATCTCCGGATCAAGTTCGCGTCAGAAAGGCTGTACGCAAAATCCTAGTCGCTCAACGCTGATCTGAGCCGCAGGCCGCTAAAGCCAATGCCTGCTTGACACTCGGCACTTGCCTTCACATTCGAGCATCTCGGCGGGTGCAGCATTGGACCCGCACAGCTGGGGTTACTGCGCTTTGAAAAGGGTGCCTTCACTGTGAAGTGCAGAGTCTTGTCGCAGCAGATGTAGTCGCTCAGCCACTCCTGTCGTGTCGAATTTTGTACACATACAGCCCAGCGAGCATGACATGCCTCTGATTATGCGTATGCAAGTAGTTTGAACGATAGATAGATACATGGATAGGTAGGTTGACAGGTTGATGGACAGTTAGACAGAAAGATGAATACATTCGCAGGCACATATGAGCGTTGATCAATGTTAAAAAGTTTTCTTCGCGTATTCTTTGATTGATGCCTTTCGATCTCGGAGTTTTAGCGTGGCATGTTTCTAGCAGCAGTAGTAGCAAAGGTAGTAAAAGTAGCAGCTGTCCTCGTCGCAGTCGTTTTCTTAGTCGTAGTGATAGTAGTAGTAGTAGTAGTAGTAGTAGCAGCAGCAGTAGTAGTAGTAGTAGTTGTTGTTGTTGCTGTTGTTGTTGTTGTTGTTGTTGTAGTCGTCGTCGTCGTCGTCGTCGTCGTCGTAGTCGTAGTCGTAGTCGTAGTCGTAGTAGTAGTAGTAGTAGTAGTAGTAGTGGTGATAGGAAGGTAGCAGTGATAGTAGCAAAATCCAAGACAAGTACCTCTGGATCAACCTTGGTTTAATATGCCTACCCAGGCACGTATGCACTCACGTAATCATACATTTACGCATATACACACAGTGTATACACCCACATAACCACGCGCACACACACAGACACACACACACACACGATCACAGATGTATGCATGCCAAGGGATATTCTTACACAGACACGCACCCATACATACATACATACATACATACATTCATACATACATTGCACAAATGCCTGCAGATATACATGAAAACATACATACTAGAATTCATGCATGCACGTGCAACTGCTTAATCACTGTCCCGCGTAGTCGTCATGCCCGAAGCAGATTCAATCAATGGGCCAGCGAGAGTAGTTGCCTTGTCATTGACGAGGACTTTGGTGTAGATATGCAGATTGCTGAACATTGCCGTCAACGTAAGCGCCCACTGCCTCGGCGGCTCCTCCCTCCCCCCTCTTTATTCGCTTATGCGCACAATTGCGCACAGAAAAGCCTCTCGACTGCTCCCCGGCAAAAACTCTGAGTTCCAGCTGGCTTGGTGAGGATATGTCAGCCGGCGGTGTGACCTCAATGCTCGCACACCGTCTTCGCACTGACCCCTGGCATTGCCTTTTGAAGTGGCTACCCTTCGGTCGTCCATGAGAGACCTGGCTGAGTATCATGCCAATGCGTCTACGAGCTCCAGGGACTTGAGACCGGTGGCCCACAGAACCGCAATGTCCGTATCCTGGGAGCATGTCCCGAAGCTTACGGACATCTGTGGCACGTGGTGATGAAAGTGGCCGAACTGACTAGTCTGGGCAACACGTACATCAGAAGCACAGGCAGGCAGTAGGCTGCTCAGGTATGCCGAGTGGTTGTTTTCATCTGCCTTCGTTCCTGCATTTGCCTTCCCTCGACATGCCCACAAAGCGGAATCAAGTACTCACCAGGGAAACCACGCCAAATCAAGGGAATCTGCCAACAGGGCTGGGCCCCAAGCAACTCCTCCCCTGTCCGTCGTGATGTGTGCGAGCCGCCCACTGCCCTCGCAGCTCCTGCGGTTCCAGCACACGGCATCCCTACGAATGTCAATCCATGCGACGGCCGTCCTGTAGATCTCTGAAAGCGGACTGGAGAACAGCACTTCCCCGATGGTCGTCCGATAGTCCCACAGCGCCTCTACGAAAGCTAAGACTCTAAGATTCCCTCCCGCCTGCGGCCTTGGGGCCGATTCGGGAGCCTCGCAGTCCCCGGCACTGTCTTTGATGTCGCTGTGGATCTGTCGGTTCAGCTCCTTCCAAGAACCACAGATCAAGGCATGTCACGTGTCATGTCGCAGTGACTGCCCCGGCTCACCGGCAGGAGCCGGGATAATGCGCCTTGGGTAGCCGGGTAGCTCAACCATGGATACTTTGCAAGTTGACCGTTTCGTCCCATATAAATTCGCCGAGACACTGTTGACATCTTCGGTGGATTGCATGGTCGGGTCTCTTCGTGGGCCGTGGCTGGCAGCGAAGCTAAAGAAGATTGACCCACATTTCTGCTGGCAACGCGAAGTAGCAAGACTAGCAAGTCTGTCGCGCCTGTACAAGGTGACAGCCCAGAATGCCATAGTCGCCATTGGCAAGACACCTCAGGGGTAAGCCGGGAGAAGCAAACCCAATGCGGCTTGCCTTGAGCTAGGAGTGCAGAGCCCTCGCAGTACAGTAAGTAAGCCTCGATTGAGCCTGGATGCTGCGACATGACTGCGCATCAGGCGATACCAAAAATGAGTCTGAGATTCTGCTGCAACTCTGCTGTAAGACTCGGCAAGTCCTCCGAGGAATGTGCCCCACACCAAGGCCCCGCCGGGCAGGGAAGGGACCATGCCTCAAGCGATCCCAAGCGTCTCCAATGGCGTGGCCGTGGAGCCCAGGAAGACTAAGAGCGTGGCTGTGGCTAGGGATGTGCTTCGGCTTTGTGACGGACTTGGCATACGAGAGCAGGCCATACCTAGCCAGGCATGGTCTGATCCCTTGTAGGTCTGTGTCTGGTGCCGAAATCTGGCGCGAAGGTCTTTTCAAAAGCTCATGTATTCGCAGAAGCTCATTGTGCGAGCCATGACCACTGCGGGACGCAAATTCGAACGGATCTTTGCCGGACCGAATGCGCAGTCTTTCAGGCGTCTGGCTCTGATCAAGAGTCCATCAAAAGCAGTTAAAAGTGCTACACCGGCTAAACTTTGATGCAGTGTTCCTCAACGAACCTGGACAGGTCCTCGGCCAAGTGCACAGCGGGGCAGCGTGTTGAACTTCGACGAAGGACCGACTCATTGATTGCTGCTTAGTCACTCTGAAAGCATCAACCGCAGGCTCCCAAACATGATGTAGTAGCAATGGTGCATGCACCCCGCCTGACCGAAGAATCGACCCCACAACACAATCTTCGGCAATACCATGTCAGAGGCCGGCATGCTGCACGTTTCTATACGGGCATGAAAACGCGCAGATGCACATCATTGACATGCAGTGACATGCAGGCCAATCCAGAAATGTACTCCTGAATGCTTGGTGCCCTGTCCAGGAGACGTCGCACTGGCACCGATTGGCCGTCACATGCTGTCATTGGTTTCAACCCTGCCCGAGCGCTGGGCCTCGAACGGGCACCAGAGTGACACTTGCGCCCTTCTGTTGCCAAACACTGCCTCGGAGTGCCGAAGTGCGCCAAGAAGGTTGGAATGCTAAATTGCCCGAGTCGCCGAAATGAGCAATCTGCCCGGCCAACAGCTCGTCCTCAAGTTGGCAATTGAGAGCCGGGATATGCAGGGTGCCCCCTTAAAGGTTTGGGGGAGCCATTTTTTTTCGCCGTCCTCGCCGTAGACGACGAGAGTGGGAGGGATCTTATGCAGCAGACCTGGTGCAAAAACTGGCGAATGCTGCCAATCGTTGTGGGGCAAATCTCCGCGAGTCATCGAAGCGCAAAACTCGACCAGGTCCGGTGGCCTCGTGCGCCGACAACTCCGACAACTCCTTTTGTTTTTTTCGGTTTTCCGGGCTCCGTGCAGGAAGTCGCGGTCCGCGTTGGAAAGCGTCGCGTTCCGCATCCCGTCGTGGCCGAGGTCCGTCCAGGGAGAGATGAGGATGCAGCAAGTCGGAGGAGGCAGCTCGAGTTCCTGTTGCCCGGAAGCACAAACACACACACACACACAGTGTGACCCCGAGACCCAACCATGCACCACACTGTGAGACACAGGTCCTGAAGCTTGTGCATCATCGCTGCTGCAATTCCTCCGCCTGCAGAGTCCCCAGCCAGGATGATGTCCGTTCCAGGCATGGTCTCAAGGAGGTGCCGGTACACCGCTATGGCATCCTCCAGCTGACTGTCTCCGCTCTCACTGGACTAGACCTTTCCTTCAATGATCGTGGCAGCTTGAGGATCCATCGTGCATTCAACCACCTTGTTTGCTGCAAATAAGACTGCGAGGCTAAGTTCCATTCCTAGCGTGCCAAGACTGGTGCTTGTACGATTGCTGCCCAGCCCGTTTCAACCAAGTCCATGTGCTGGCGCTTCTGCAGGTCCCTGGCTCTATGCTGACTGACATTTCCAGAAAAACGACGTTGCATGAGATCACTTCAAGACCAGTGGCGGGCTCTGCTCGCAAACCACCGACAGCAACAAGATTGGAGGATAACTACAAAACTCGTCATGACAATGATGACAATGCAGGCTGCAAAACGAGCTCTGTAGCGGACTTCATAGGTCGATTCGGCTGGAACTACTTGCGATTACGACTTGAACCCTGATGTGGCTTATGCAAGAGGACGGTAGCATGAGTGGAGACATGAAAGTCTGATGCCAAGCTCGCGAGGGTGGTGTCTCTCGGCCTGCGTCTGAACAAACTGGTTCGCAGCAAGTCAGCAGAGGCTAGGGAAGTCATGGCCTGGGCCGCTGATGCAGTGAACAATGATGGTGCTCGGCGCCGACGGTGAAGTTGGTGAGATGGTGGTTCTTTGATCAAACATGGCAATTAAATGTGGTGATGGTGATGCTCTGTTGTGTGAGGGTGATGAAAGTCATGCCTACGATGCTGATGCCACAGGCATGTACCCTCGGAGTACGGTCGCCTTGGAATTTCTCTGACTCTCCAAGCGTCTTGCCGCCTCCCTAACTCCCGATGCATCAGCAGCACTCTCTGCGTATCGTCCTCCATCGGTCCAGGAATCGGATGCTCCGGCGGCCGCCTGAAATCAGGTGCGCAAAGCGCCGCCTGCCGCATGGGAGTTGACGGAAGGCCATATCGTGTCTAAGGCAGCACTACCGGTACAGTACAAGCCGTTTCACGATGGCTCCACCTGCAGGGCGGCAGCGACATTGAATGTGATACCACGCAAGGACTTGGCAGTGCATAGCACGTAGGCGCCGCCGTGCAAGTAGAGCACCACACGCTTGAAGTCGCGTGGGCATCGGCCACCAACGTCCGTGCAGCCAAAGCCGGGAAGCCATTTAAATGAGGCGCTGCGCTTGCTGCTGCTAGAAGAACTTTGGGGAACGAGCCACTCCAGCTGAATAGAGACCTGAGCGGCTGTGTCCAGATCCAAGGGCATGTGAAGACTTGACCTATGGCCTCCGAGTTTTTGTCGCTCGCTGGTATTCTCAGCGTGTCAGACAGCACGGTCACGTCCTGCAAAGTCGGGCCAGGCACGGAAAGTCGCGCAACTGCCTTTCCCTGGGCCTGTCGGAGAAGGACCTGTGGTACAGGTAGATCGCATGCCAGCCGAAGGGCCAGAAGCCGTCGAGGAGTCAGTTCGGCGCTTTGCCGCAGCAACTTCACCAACAGCCTTTCATCAGGTCACGCCATGAATACCACGGCATGCGTCACAGCGAGAGAAATGGTGAGAAGTCTTCTGTCCGTATCGTAGCACTAACAGTCACTAACACGGAGCCTGTGGCTGACACCTTGCCAGCAGACGGACTTGCCGGGCTTGCTCTTCCAGAGAGAGGGCAGCGAACCAGCACACCAAAAGTCCCGCCACGACGGCATGGGCTTCGTCCCCAACAATCAATGTCGGGGGGTAGGCGGGCGATATGTCTTATTGTCCGGAGCTCAATGTGCAACGCACGTCTCTGTAGTCATGGCAGAGTCTTTAACCATATCAAGGTGATTCTCTGTCATCTGCAAAGCTGACACATGTTTCCCAGCAGTCTCAAAATTCGGCGCAGCATGACTCAACAACCACACGGAAGCCGGAGGGCTGCCGCAAAAGCCCCGAGGCTGAGTCTAGACTGCAGCGCTTTGCAGCAATCAATCGCTGGGGCAGCGACATTCCGACACCTGAAGCACCATTGCTCAACTACTCTCAGCTCAGGCGAACCCAATTCACTCAGGGGCAGACCCATGCACAGAATTGCAACCTCAGGTCGCAACAGGACAGTATGCCAGCACAACACATTCTCCTGTACAGCATGCCGGGCGCAGAATCCACCTCTAAGGCTGAATGCCTCAAAGCTGCCATGCCAACGGGAACCTCTGGAAAGTGAGCACACACCTCCACGACAGCCTGCAGAAAAATCACCAACCGTCCTAGGACGTGCACCGTACAAGACATCCAGGCTTTCATGCAAGTACGGAGAATCGGCCTTGTTCCGTGCTGTCACCATGTAGTACACCTCCATCAGGGGATGTGGGAGGTGCGCGAGTCTCACTTTAATAAAATACTGGCAGATATCTCCCGTCTCGTGAGGAAGGTAGACTTCTGACGCTATGCTGCAACACCTGAGGCAGTGTCCAAGCAGAGCGATGCAGACCAAATGTGGCATAAGACCTGCAGCCAGATGTGTCAACAACTACCGATTCACTACAGCCACACAGTTGCTGCCATCTCCAAGAACAACTGGGTTCATGAACAAAAGACTTACCTGCCTTCATGTGTCTTCCTCTTTGTGTTGCAGTTATTCTCATCAGTCACTGCAGTAGATGCATGTGGATGGCGGCTGTTTGAGGTGGTGAAACCAGGCGGCATCCCGCCCTCTTTCCCGCGCAGCCCACTCCCACCACATAATTGCCTATGGATGGATGACCTCCGGACACCGGACATTGATCACAAATGGCCATCGAACCGGATCTTGTTTTTTCTGGACGGACCTGGTGCAAAGCATCGTGGCATGTCTTCGCTTTCGGGGCTGCTGGTTCGATTCCAGTGGTACTGCTCCCTATGCTCATACATGGCAAAGCCTGACCCACAATTGTGATGTGGCCCAAAGAAGTCTTGACTTACGGAACCGAGAGATTGATCCGGACCCTAAACCGCTCAGTCATTCCCACCTGAAATACCGAAGTCCACCTGCTTACTGGGAATCCCTGGCCCATGGTCGCAGAATCGGCTCCCAGTAGCAGGCGGCCCGCGACACGTCACTGGCAGCGACATGGCAAGTTGCGGCAGCTCTGAGCTTGCAGGGAAACCACAATACCCAGACTGGTCAGCCTGCAGAGCCCCGCCTGTGCGCACCGTGGTGGAGCATTCGAGTCGCAAATAGAGCTGCCCAAACAGCAGGCAAAATGATCTGAGCACAGCTGCTGTGTTCGCTTCGCCGTTCAGACTCTTAAAAGGCAGCTCGGCTGTGCCCAACATCAAGGAATGTAGCCAAACCTGGCCGATGCGCAAAAAAAGCCAGGATCTCGGTTCCCGGCCATGGTCGTGACGGCGAAGCACATCAAGAAACTGAACAGGCATTCGGCGCATTCACTCCACAGTACGTAGTGGACAGACCCAACCGAAGGCTTGTGGAAGGCATGAGTTCTGTTGGCGGCGGTGGTAGTAGAACCTCTTGCTGCTGGGTCTCTTCGTGGCAGGATGTGAAAGCGCTTCCAGGCCTCTGTTTCGTATCAGGGGAACCCAACCCCGTCCGGCTTGCTCGACTATTCTCCAGGGCAGCCATTCTCCCATCGAGCTGATCCTTCCCCCCGCTCTCTTTCCCTTTCCCTTCGTCTGTCTGCGTGCCAGACCCCTCGCGCAGCCTGCTCACGGAACCGATGCTCTTCCACAGGTCGATGATCGAGGGGGCAAGCCCATGGATCATCAAGCCTGCACACAGGCTACAACACTCCTCCATAGATTCTTTTCAGAGGCTTTTCGCAAAGGAGCTTGCCCATTCATGGATCAATGCCAAGAGTTCACGCATGGATAACCGCAGTTACACAGCTGCGCATTGGACTCAACGAATGTCCAACGGGGACACTTGGCTTGACCCCGAATGAAGTCGCTACTTCCACTCACAAGTAGTGCCGATCGGCAAAGTCCTTCAGCCCAACATGCAAGCCCGCAAGCAAGCTATCCTGCCGTCCAGAGCCAGGGAGATGCAGCTTTCCACGCGCAAGAGCTCCGTCGAACTGAAGTGGGGCTTTCAGCTCCCAGGAGGAACACGAGGAACATCGCAAGCTAAGGCAACCTCTCACATGGCTTCTTGGTAGCGCTTTCTTCTGCCGTCCTTGCCGAGGGCTTGCATGATCAGCTTGCGTGCCTCAGCCAAGGGCCGCTCTGTAGCAGCTTTTTACAGAGGCTTGGGCTGGGTCTTGTCTTGCGTGTGCTCACCCTTTGTGCACAGGAAGCCTTGCAGTTTCGGTTCGCGCGTGGCAAAGCATCTCTGTCAGAGACCCCGCAAGCGCGCAATGCGCTTCTTGCACACATCCTGCGCCGTGACCCGTCGGAGAGACCCAAGCCCTCGGCCCGACAACGTAGACGTCGAAAAAAACACGCCTGTTCTGGAGAATACTGCTACTTTCATGTCAGACAGCCCCGCGTGGACCGCCACTGCGTTGTTCGCAACTGGCGTCGTTGGCACGCGCATGTTGGGGATAGTACCCCTTCGGCATGATCATTATTCAAAATAATGACGATGATGATTATGAGGAGGAGGAGGACGACGATGATGATGATGATGGTGATGCTGATGGTGATGGTGGCGGTGATGGTGATGATGGTGATGGAGGTGGTGATGATGATGGTGATGGTGATGATGATGATGATGATGATGATGATGATGGTGATGGTGATGGTGATGATGATGATGATGATGATGATAATGATGACGACGACGATGATGATGATTGTTCGGGCAGGTGAAAGAAAACAGATCAGGTCAACAGGATGCTGAGTTAATGTCCGTCTCTCATCGCGGTCAAGCTGCCGGTTCTCCACCGAAGCCCTTGAGGCGAGATCCTTCGTCCATGTCCGCGGCATTGACCACCTGATGATATTTGCGTACACATGTCACGATTTGTGGAATTTTGTGCGATACGCCGGCAGCTGTACCGAGAACTCTCAGATTGCGGCCACTGGCTGCTCAGCGATGCCAGGCAACAGCTTGGACTCGTGGGGCACCCCTTCCGGGTCAGTGAACCTCGTCTTGTCAGAGTAATGCTGGAAAACGAGGCATGCCGCTCTCTTGTGCGGGATTTGCCGACTTACATCACCAAACTTAGCACGTTGCCATTGCCCTCACAGGCCTGGGCAAGTGGCCTTGCAATTTAAGCCCCCACAGGCGAAGCCCCGTCGTTGTCGAGTGGCTGGGCCGAGATACAGTGAGACTCCTCCACGTCAGGGAGACCCTCGATGGGTGACGTCACCTGCGCCAAGCAGGACTGGGTTACGGTTACGGCACCGATTGGTTCTCACAATGTTTTACACGTGAAGCACAATCACAAGAGGCCCAAGTCCCAGGTCCCCTGCGCACCTCTCTGTTGGCACCTCCTCCTTGCCAGCCCTCCAAGGCCCCGAAGAGGTATCTGTCACAAGTGGCGGCCACCATGCACTTTCCATGCCAGCTGTTGTACTGCCAGGTGACAACACGCTAATTTCGTTGTGCATTCGTCCTTCGTTTACCTCGCCTACACAAAAGGGGATGGCACAGTCTATGTTCCTTTCCCAGTGCCTGTCGCGCACAGTCCTCAGCGAGGCAACCCATTGGACTAAGGATGGGATCTGCAGAATCTCAGAAGCACCCAAGACAACGTCTGTGCAATGGCATTCAACTTTCTACAGGTGACACCTTCCGAATTCTGAACTGGCATGAGCAGGCCGGGATGCTGCTTCAGGCCAGCATGGCCGGCTTCGAAGGCTGCTTGTGCCAGCTGCACCGCATGGAACAAGGCCTGACACAAGGGGGCAGGTCAGGCCCGCCTTGTAGAATCCACGGCTCCACTGGCGGCCCAGCCTTGTCCTGCTTGTGCCCGAAGACAAGCTCGTTGCCCCGTCGATTTCTGATCTGAGATCAGTCAGTCGCAGCTGTCGCAGCTGCCAGCATGCTTTCTTTCGTGCTTCTGCCTTCTCGTGGGGCTTCAACTTCGCCAGAAGCGGCCCCAACACCCGCAGTAAACGAGGCTCATCTATGAATGGCAAAAGAACCACGGCCTGAACAGGTAAGGGCAGGTGCAGCGACTGCAGTAGGAGACTCTGAGTTTGGGAGCCTGCCATGTAAAGCGCTTGCCATTCAAATCCAAGCCGAAGTCCACCGGATAGAAATCGATTAGCCTGCCACAATGCAGGTTTCTCTCAGACTTCCAGACTGGCGCCCAAAAACAAACGCTGTTGTAATTGGGTGAATTGGGCTGAACTTCATGCCGGGGGACGGAGAGAAGGCCTGCTTCATGAGTTCGCGCATTGGGCCTGGGATACCGGCCTCGCAGCAGAATCCCGATGCTTCTGTGTATGGCGAGTCTCCTTTTAGTCCGCTTGCGGTCACCTCCTCGGCGCTGACTGGTGGGAGGACACTCATTAGCTGCTGGAACGGCTGGAAGGGCTGCCCAGACCTCAGTGCTCTGCAGTTGTATGTAGCTGTCATGCACTCTACTGGTATCAGCAGATGAAATACAGGTTCCAACAACGAAAGGATGATCTGCCAGCTGGCTGGAAGTAGGTCAGCTCCCCGCACTTGAGGTTGCCGCACCCAATCAGGTCAGAGGCAAATGGCCTTGGGTTTTCTGCGTTCTGAATCTTTCAGTGACAGGTTGTCGCACGGGCGCCGGAAAAAGGACCTACACGGTCACCGTGGCAACAAGGCAAGGCACTTCGATCTGGGAAGCTGATAATATGGGCTGCGCCGTGCCAGGCTTCATTGCCAAATTGACAACAAGCCGAAGCCCATGTTAGCCTTCGCTTAGCCAGGCCACGCATAGTGATAAGGATAGAACCAGGTCCAGGACGGGCAGCCCTGTCAACTGTGGCAGTGATGGGTAAGAACATGCAGGCCTTGCAACACAGTCTGCGAGCCTGGTAGTAGTAGACTAGGACCCAGCACAAGCCCTCGACGTAGGCTTTTCGTATTCTCTGCAGGAAATCGACGAGGTCATCCTGTGATGTTCGGAGATGTGCAGGATGGCTCAGCAAACCGTAGGCGTAAGTAGTCATGCATGTTCGGCCCCCTCTCCTGTTTCACTTTGAACTTTTCGAAATAGTAGCGCCTCGGCTCCCCCACCGAGAACGACACAAATGCGGCCAAACCCAGGCTCTGAATATTCGCTGCATCGTGATGCGTTCTGTCGCAACAGAACTCCAACTTTTTTACACGACAAGGCTGGAACCAGGATGAGTGATCAGAGCAAGTCGCACTTCGTCAATATGGTTGATATCTGCAGAAGCTTGAAGTCTGGTAAAGTCACAATTCAAAACGCTTGCTGAGGTGCTGCTTCCAGTGCGGTCCCTCGCCGAGGCGGACTGTGTCAGGCATGGCCTAAAGCTCGACCGAAGGGGAGGGTACATGAAATCAGGCAACAGCCTTTCAAACCCCAGCTCAGCGTCCGGGCCTCGCCCAAATCTTGCCTGTTGTTCAGCCGATCTCGTAGAGCCTGAACGCCACACGGTGCATTTCACATGGGGCGGAGTGATGCAGCTTTGAATCCTTTGGTGGTCAGGGACTTCTGGCGCCAATTGCACCCAGGCCTGGTGGAACTCACGGTCGACAATCTTGCCCGACTTGGCCTGCGCTTTGCTTGTATCCGTATCTGCGAGTAACGAATCGGCAGCGGGATGTGCGATCAGACCCTCGCAAAGAAGCGGGTGTGGTCCTTGTTCTCCTTCGGCTTCGGTGGATCGAGAGTGGGCTCCTACATGACAGATCACACGAAGCGCCGCAAGACTCTCGCAACCGCGTGCCCTGCGTGCGCACTGCAGGCTGCACATCTCCTGGCGCTGCCGCTTTGTCGGTGGCTCTGGTGTCTCCAAATTCTCGAAATCCATGGAGAAGCTCTGTGCCTTGGTTTTGAACCGTTGCTACTTGCAGGGTTGGGGCATTTGGGGCATGTCCTTGAATGCTGGCAATGCTGCCAATAGCTGCGCGTGGAAGGCGCTGGTGTCCGAGGCCTCCTCTTTCGGCAGGAAGGCGTCGGCAGCACCGCTGCCTGCAGCTCGCGTGGCAAGCTGAGAGCCCAGCCAGAACACATGCACGGGTGCCTTCACCAGCCAAATCGGCACCCATCTGACCTCCTGCTGAGCCGGCGGTATCCTGAAGTCAGATGCTGAGTGCTGAGAGGACATTTTCATTGGCACAGCAAGACTCTCACCATCTCTCACCCAGCACACGATTCGGATGATCCACACTCCCTCGAGAAGATGATATGGCTGTTCCAAGACGGCCTCCTCCTTGGTCTCCTTGCTGCGTTCTTCTTGCCTTTCAGCTCTCATCTTCGCCTCCCTTTCCAAGCGGTTCTTGAAGACCTGACCAGAAGACCAGAAGCACGGCCAGTGGCACTTTCAACTTCGGCGCAGTTCGATGCCGCAAGAAAGGATGGCCTGGTCCTCAATCCCGCCCAGGTATTCCAGAAACTGTTCAACTTGAGCAAGGTTCGTTTTGCCACAGTCTGTCAGGTAGTCTTCGAGCGCTGGCAGGATCTCAATCTCGGAATGCCAAGCAGACTCTCTCTCGCAAGAAACAACAGTATGCCCCAGCTATTGCTGCACGGACTTGAGCCTGCAGCCTGCGTGTAGTCTGCTACCCTCTCAGAACATTGATATTGATGGGGACTTCAAGAACCAAGATTGCATGCACTGAAGATCTGACAGGGTACGAGTACAGTGTTTGTCTTGTCTGAAGAATGTTCCTGAAGTGATACACTACCGAGATTGCAATCAGTTCTCATCTCGGGAAAAGAGGAGCAACGATCGACAACCACGTGTGCTTTCAAGCAAGAGGCATAGAGCGCGATCATTTGGTCAATGCTGCCATCCCTGATGCTCAAGGATGGAAGATGTGGCAAAAAGTCGTTGCCCACGAAGAAGCACATGAAGACCTCACGGACAAACGCAGGGAACGGGCCGCTCGCTGGACTGCCAAGCGCTAATAAGAGCCAGACGAAGTCATCAACACACCTGCTCGGCGGAGTCAGGAAAGCCACGCTCTTCACTCTTCCGCTCATCGAACAGTCAAAACTTGCGCGCCTCTCGAAATCATACAGTAGAGTTTGTGGCATACGATTGACGAGCTCTGCGAATTGCAATTGAAGGTATTGGCCTGCGCGCATCTTGCATTGCCCAACACTGTATCAACGCACAGGTTGCTTCAAGTAGCAGTCTGTTTGCTCAGGTCCCGACGCAACACAGGCAACGAAACGATTTGGAAGGGCTTCCTCGTTTGCATGGAAATCAGCTGTCGCGGTGGATTTCTGATCTCAAACTGGGCAGGGCAGCTGGATGGCAATGCTGTCGTCCATGTCATCCCCGTCGCCGGTGCACTCCGAAGCAACGTGGCCGGTGCCTGGGGCTCTCGAGTCGACCTCTTCTGCGCCCTGTGAAACTTCAGGTCAATTCAAGGAGAGCTGGACAGCCTCCGCAAAGGGTGCACTTCTTTTCCGCTTTTGGGATCACGACCTCCCGAATGATGGAGAAGTGCGCCTAGGATCACGGGCACATGAAAAAAAAATCCCAACAGCCTGAAGACCGAGCGGGCCGGGCGTGAAACTTTCCGAAAGCCGCACCATCAGCCCAGCCAACTAACTACGCGTATGCAGCCCAAGAAGAGTCTCATGCTTGACGGACCTTTCCGACGAGTTTCTTTCTAGTTGTCATTCTCAAAGCGCCAAAGCGAAACGCGCACGAGTAATCGATTCCGGCACCTCATGGGTGGCCAGGCCCAGCATGATGAGATCCGCATCGGCACCATACAAGCAGTGCCTGCAAGCCGCATCGTTCCAGCTGTGAGAATCCGCGTGCCCCTCGAGCCTGGTGTTTGGATCGTAGTCCGGCTGTGCCCGCTGCAGTCGAATGAACTGCATGATTTTGTGCTCGCCCTCGCCTGATCGAAATACATGGACTGGACGGATGGCATGGTTTTGAAAGTCGGACCCGCAACGGCCTGTCGCCACGGCTGAAACGACAGCTTGAGCAAACTATCCCGAGCAAATGTAAATCACTACTGCCACATCCCTCAAAGCTTGCAGCTAAGGTACTTGGAACGTTTGCCTGAGAAGCACGGACAGCATGTTCGGAAATAGTCCGCAACAGTCCTGAAACTAGATAACTGACCGGCCGTGACTGCTGGCAGCTCGAGCATCAGATCAGTGCTGTTTGGGCACATCAGACAGGATCACGCGAAACTTGAGCTTTTGCCAGAGTGGATCGTTTGTCGTGCCTGGCATGACGATTTCCTGCTGCAGAGGCTGTCAGACGAAAAGCGATCGACCAACTGGTCTTCGGGCCAGATTCCCTGCTGAGACCACCTAAACATGGGCCATTTTGGGAAGCTTCCGAGGCCGCTTCGAGATGGAACTCTTGCCGGCTCCGCGGTCGTGAATGTAGTACCGGATAGCCTCCCGATCACTCCCTTACCTCTGCTAAATCGGCCCATGAGAGCCCTCACATCATGAGTGCAGCTCCTCTTTCCTGACCTCAGCATCTAAACCGCGAGTCCTGTTCAAGCGACAGCACAGGGAGCCTCCGACATTTTGTGCAGGAAGTTCGTTCCAGGAGTGATGACCTCGGAAGCTGTCAGGGCACGAAGCAGATTTCAATCCCGGGTCGAGTCGGCTGGTGTGCTTGTGACTTTCAGAACAGTTGCACCGTGGCAGTGCTTCGGGCGCCGAGCATTAGAGTCGAAGACCTTTCCCGACGTTCTGTTGGGAAGTGTTCGTCCTTCTGCCTGCAGCATCACTTCGCTATGCATCGGATGCCCGCTTCAATGCGGCATCCCGAAGGCAGAAGCCACGACTAATCCAATGTGGAGTTTAATGTCACACTGTGCAGAACTCGCGGTGAAGGCGCATGAGCCTAGCAGAAAATGCTGGGCACATGCAACAAGAACAGCAAGGAGAGGGCAGGCAGGAGTGCAAGCGGCTTGAGACGGCAGGATGCAGCGCGAGGCAACAAGCAAGGCAGGCATTCAAGCAGAAACATCCAATACGAAGGGCAGGGACTGGTAGCTTCGAGGCACACGAGTACAGATTCAAAGGCACACGGAGACAGATAGACAATAAGACAGACAGGCAGGTGCCCCCATGCGAGACACACATACCGTCTAGTGCCTCCCAGTCTTGTCGGAGCCTTTCCTGTTCTCGCTCCATTTCTTCCCTCTCCTGCAAGGTCCAGATTGGCTCCAAAGTACATGTTGGCTCGTATGTTCCAACATTTTGGGTGTTCTTTTGCAGCCCGACAGGGCAGCCACGGAAGAGGCTTCTGGGCAAAGAGGGGTCGGAAGGAAGTCTGTCCTGTGCAGCCCGGAATCGACGAGCGCGCTGCTGGTTCATTTTGGCACCTGAAGATGCTCGGGACCCTGAGTTGCCATAGGAAACGTGCTAATTAGTGTTCAGTCCCGTCACGCGGCGCGACACCGTCAATCGCCATGTACACGAGTCGCTTCGGCCTGCAAGCTGTTCATGAAGAATTGTGACAGTGATGCCGTGAGCATGACTGCATCAGTCACTGCATTGGGCCTGACGATCCGGAAAAGGCGATCGAGGTAAAGGAAGATGTTCTCGTACCTCCAGGCACTGGGACAAGTAGGCTCTAAAAAGTAGAGCCTTCAAGACCCACCTTACTGCGCATCACCGCGCATCTGTATCTGCAGCCTGGTGACATGTGCTCCTCGTCCTCTGGTGCCGGCCCGTCTTCGGGATGGCAGCAGGGATGGATGATTCCTACAGCTCTCAAGAATTGCGACAGTGCTGCTAAACGACGAGCAGCATCCAAGTTACGAGGGGGATGCTGAGTCTGAGATAACTCTGAACTTAAACGAGTTACAGTTGGTGTCGCGCTACTCAAATCAGATCTGATCCAGACATGCTGTCGGGCCACCGTTCATGTCCAAGTACAGATTGTCGAAATCGCCGTTCGGTGCCTCGACCATGCAACGAACAAGCAAGCAAACACAACCCCCCTGCACAAGATCGAGCTACGATTCAGGGCAACGGCCCAAGAATGCAGTGGACTTAGTTTGTCCCCGTGTATGTGGCTGGGGAGTGGGCATCCTCGTCTAGGTCCACTGGCACCATTCGGCCGTCCATCTCCACCGGCTCTCGTTCGATGGTGTCTCGAATGACTTTGGGGTACCGGACGCAGATCCATCCTCGGAGATTTGCCACATGCCGGTCGACCGTGACGTCTGAACAGGGCTCGCCTGCAGCATTCACACGAACCTTGGCTGAAACTTTTGCTGCTGAGGGGCTGAAAAAGGTCGGAACGCCCATGGCTCCAAAGCCGGGTTCCCGGGCGACTACGGACTATGGCCAAGAGGTGTATGTCAGGGATGCTAAGCTGGGGTGAGGGAGAAGGGGGGAATGCAACAGTTGGGTTGCAGCAGTGCTGTCGCCATGCCAGTCCTGTACTGTCGGCAGTTGCCTTCATGGCGTAACAGGTTGGCCTCCACTTGGAAGACCCCAAAAGGTGATATGCTGATGTGCTGCAAGGTCCAACACGCTTGCAGGCGCTGATGATCGCACACTGGACCGTGCTGTAATGTGATTAATTTCGAGTCCTGCTGTCTGCAAGCCACATGACCAGGCAAGGCGGGTTCGGTAACGTGCGGGTGAGAGAGCATGCTTAGCGGAAACGTGCATGCAACCCCACAGAGAATTGAAGCTCACCCTGCCGGCATCAGAGCATGTGGTGTCCCACCGATTCCAGGCTCCGAACCTGAGATCCGGTAGTTGATGTGCAGGTAGGTCCGTGTCAATGCCACATAAGTCAAGCCAACCTCAGCTCGCCCAGTCATGCCACTGCATGACCCGAAAACTACAAGGCAAGGGCGGCAAGGGTACTGCATCTCCCCGGGAGCGGGGCCATGAAGCTTCCAGCAACAATGCATGCAGCGACCTCGCACCACTCGACAGTGAGTTGCTTCGCTGCATGCTTGGGTCCCCGTTTTGGCTTGCTTTCGTTGAAATCATGGCGAGCTCGCCGAGACGGTCAGCTTCGCTTGAGTCACGCTTCAATTTGCTGCACAATTGACGGGAGGATTGCTTCATGACTTGAGGGTGCATGAAAACCCCCACCCGTTTGCTTGACCCTTAGTTCGGTTGTATTTGTTACTCTTGTCGTTTTACAGGACTTTGGGACTGAGGATGTAGCAGCAGCAATCGGTTACCGCCAAGACTAGCTAACGCATCTCGGACGGGGGGGTGTCTGTGATTGTCTGCATGCTATTTTGACGTACATTGTCTGCCGACTTACGATCGGGGAATGTGAGAAAGCAGTATTTTGCCGCAAAACTGCGGCACCTTCGCTGTATTTGTGAGTCGATGCTTTTATACGCCTTGATACGCCTCGTACCAGTATTGATTTCGACAACACTCGTAACTTGTGGTTTCACCCCGCCGGAACCGGGCGCGACACTGTGACTGGAGCATACCGGAGCGAACAGAGAGCGGAGTCCAACTTGCACATCCAGTCTATCGGATCGCATAGACGGGACGGACACATATGGACACTATGTCAATGCGACCTCGGACGGCTGCATTGCCGCCATGTTTCCAGACTGATCAGCAACACCAAAACATTGCAGAAAACTGAACTCTGACAGTGGCGAGAGTTACACCGGGTCCTTACATCGGCACCGGTACGATGCCTAGATCCACAGTTGACCGACGACAATGACGACAATCACAGCAAGTTGCACGGTGAGCAAGGCTCCCCCATGCTGCTGCGATCGACACGCACCAACCAACTCAGCATTAGTGTCTCGGACACCTCCATAGCTGGAAAGCTCGAGCACTGGCGGCATCTAGACTGCGCTTGGCTTGTTCTCGAGGCCTGGGATTCGAGATTGTTCGTTCGAGTGCTACCCTGCTGCAGCAGTTCTTGTACTAAATACCTACTTCCTGTTGACTCGATTTCTGCACGGTTCCAATTCGGGATCCTAGGCCTGCTTCTTCTGAAATCACTTACGGCCTGCACTATGACAGTCCTTGCGCAGTAGTCCCATTGTGCCCAGCTTCCTACTGAAATCAACTGGGCATCCTTAGCAGAGGCATCGAAGCCTGTGTTCGCCAACAAGTGTCGATCCGGGATGGCGAACAAGCGATGACCGGCACATCCATTGCTGCTTCTCTCCAGCTCGAAGGCACCGAAGCTTCCGAAACGGCCACTGGCCACTGTCATTCACCAGTATCCAAGCAAGAAAACAACACACCATGCTTCTGAATTCCAATGTGTCTAGTCATCCGCCTAACTGTTACAAGGCATCCATCGAGCGAGGAGCACACCATAAAAGCAGCGACCCGAAGACGTGCCGCGCGTGGCATCGAGAAGAAGCCGTGCAGTGACGGCAAGCACATGCCACACGCACATTGACACACCGACACTGACAGAGCGAGAGGGACAAAGAGAGCGAGAGGCCGGGTCCCCTTGAAGCCCCACCTCCAGAGGCTTGGTGGACAGGGAGTCTCCATCTGGTTCCGAACCCTTTCAGACAGCAGGACTTATTTCCACTTCATTGGAGAGCCACTGGCTACCGCTTGAAAGATGCGGCCTCCGAGGCTTCATCGGAATCGTCGTCACCTGCGATCCAACACAAAAAAACCCACTCTGTGCGGGCAGTGGCTGCTTGGCAGCAACTGCTACTTATGGAACAACTGTTCACGTCAAGTGCAGCCGCACATCACGTGTTTCGCATCAGGATGCAATGCCTCTCTCTGTAAGGATCTGGCCATTGCTTCCTTTCCTGTACCTTAGACGAGTAGACGACTGTGGGCACGGCATGGCACAGCAGTATCATCAAGTTGCGAAGCACTGAGCCTGAGCCCTTCACGACCCCATCAATGCTCTTGAGGAGTCACCATGCTGAACCCTGCACGCAGACGTGAGGTTTTTCCATCATGTACCTTCAGATGCCATGCTTGCAGGCCGAGGCGCCCATTCGTGCTGCCATTGCCGTTCGGCAGAGGTGCTATGACGTCTTTATCGTCTCCACAAACTGCCGCCTCTCAGGCCAAGCTCGTGATCCACTAAGAAGGTTTGCACGCTCAATGCAGCGACCTCGCAGGGAAAGGACTCATCCTCCTGTGCCGAGTATTTGCTTCCGTCCTCGGAGTTGTCAGGAACTGATCGCTCTGGCAGGGTGCAGTCCAGGACCGTCAGCTTTGTGGTACGTAGTCATCCACATGTGTAACCGAAGCTGTATTTGAGTGCCTCTTCCGCAGGTTGAACCTGACACACGAATGCAAGAAGATATCTCATACTGTCGGCTGAGAAACTCGGGAACCGGCCGACCATGCCAGCAAAATGGCTCCCATGCAGTACCTCTGCTCCCAGCGGTGTGGCGGCAAGTGCGAAAACGTCTCTTGCACTACCCATGCGGGCACGAGATGAAGTACCAGTAGCCATGCGTGAACCAGCCCTGCATCATCAGGGGGTGATTGCAGGTGGTTTTGCAGTGGCATCTAGCACTGCTATCACCAGATGCATGGCTCATGTGTGACCGGAATACTGCACGGGAGCTGAGGAAGCTGTGATCTGCCCACGAGCACAAATCACAAAACAACTCAACAAAGAACGAGGAAGGTGCTGGGTTTGTGGCATCAGAAGGGTCTCAATCTTGATTCTGCACTGCTGAGCGCCAAACTGCACAAAGGGCTTGTTTGTCTTCTACAAGACGGGCTTCAAACACTACCAACATTGCGATGTGCGAGGTGTTTGGTTTGTCGGTCGCGACATGCGAGGGATTTACTAATAGACTAACAATTATTGCATACCACCGAGATGGCACAGAGACCCAGATTGCCTGCCACCTCGAAACGACAACCACGAATTCGTTCTACCGACTCTGGCCACAAAGCTCCTGGGGATTAACCAACCCCTCTGAACAGCCGATGAATGCAATCGACAGAGACTTGCGAGCTCGCCCCGAAGAGGGTGTCGCCGGGACCAGGCATGTTGGCTATGCCAACGATGAGCCTGCGGTCACTGGTGCATGACAAAACGTGCACGTCCGGTGCCCAGAACCAGGCTGCGGGCATCATAATGCATGGCTGGGTGAAGCGCATCGGGGCCTGGATAACTTGGGAAGTCCCTCCCTGTGCACGGCTAATGCCAAGAACCCGGCCAAATTCATCACGTACGCTTGCATGGACGTATAGAGGTCATCAGGGATGAAGGACGGCCTCATCGGGACATGCTTCGACGTCCTGCTGAATGCAAAGCTGTGCTGAGTTCCGTGCCGGAGGAGAATGAAGAAGAAGAGAAGGAATTGGACAGGCGGGAGCTGCCAAAGCAGCTTCGCACAGACGGATCTTGTACCGCTGCAAGAGTCGCTGATGCAGCATGCGAAAGCCATGCGAAAGCTTCGTGCGCGGGCTCACACCGCCACATGTGCTCTGTAGCTAAAAAACACCTAGCCTCGGGCCTCGGTCACCTCCGAAATCAGAGCGAAACAATGCGAGCCAGGTGTACGATCATGGCGTTGTAGCTCACCACGAAAGCCGAACAAGGCAGCCGACTGCACGCGAGGTAGATTTCCCCTTTTGTCTGGATTATGATCTGGCATCTGCCGCTTGAAAACAGAAACGACTGAAATGAGCACAGCCTGTCATACAGCCAGGTGATGACATCGATGTACGCGTCGCCATCGGTAAATCGATGACCATACCCTGTCTATTGACGCTTCACATGGCACAAGCAAACTCAGAAAGGCGAATAACTATATCCAAGCTCTGCTGGGCAGCGGCCTGGTGTATGGTTCGCCTCGAACCTGGCATTGAGCGTGGCTTGTCATGACGATTGCTTTTCGGAATTCTCGACAGCCGCCAGACAGCCTCGCACTAGATGCGCGTCGCTTGCAGGGGTGTGGATGGTTTGTTTCCACGCTGTGAGGCGGGTGTCTGTGCCACACCGAAAAGTTCTAGACCATACACATAACAGGGCCTTGTAGCTGCCCAAACAAGCAGAGCCATTTCGTCAGCTTGGCGAGTCCCGAAATGAGATCGTCAGCTAAGGTCTTGGGTCTGTCATCGGAGAATGCTTAACATCTAGACTTGGTGAAAAGTTAGAGTGCAGATCAATTCCTCCACAACTGGGACAAGAGATCTCAGCAACAGAGAAACCGGCATCTAGCTGAATGGAAAGATACGTACGAGAAAGATAGACTGATGGATAGATAGATGGATGGATATGGATATGGATATGGATACATGAATGGACAGAAAGTCAGGATAGAGAAATAGAGAGACACGCAGACAGATGGACAGATGGACCGATGGACGGATGGGGGGCTGGCTGGCTGGGCTAGGTAGGCAGATAGAACTCAAACGGACAGAGGGACAGATCGCTGAGTTGGGAGATAGGCAGGCAGTCAGGCAGATAGATTGATTCCTGCAACGATGGGAGGGTTTGAACCATCGTGCGAGGGACTTGCAAGCACTGCACAAATTGAACTCCTCTTTAAAGTAACATACCTCGCGTGTGCTACATTGTGCTATTACTGTTCGCCCTGTCTGTCTACCCAAGCTCTCCAGAAACAGTTACTTGAGAGGACAAGCGTTGCTGAAGCATGAGCAGGCCTTTCAATCGCCTCTGCATCGTGGAGCCACTTGATGTCGGGCAGGGTGAATTCGGTCTGAAGTAAACTTCAGAAACCCACAAGACCCCGCAGCAAGCAGTTGTAGAACCTTCAGAGCTCGAGCAGATTGATCATGGTTCCACACCTGGATCAACGGTATGTGGGTACCGACGATGATGCAAAACCTCAGATACTGTAGCACCGGTTCATGCAGCTGTGATTCGGATCCGGAGGTCACTCCCGACGGTTTAAGGTTTTGATTCTGAGCCGTGGTCATGCAGGAAGGAAGAAGAAGCCATTGCCACAACCGGCTTCCCCTGCAAAGACTCTGTGAGACTGCTCTTACTTAATCACTTAACCCTAGGAATAAAGACCATTTTACTGCAGTACAAGCCTGCAAATTCGTTTCCTTTGCGAGCTCGATTCATCGAGGCTGCCATCCTGAGAGCAGGGGCGGATCCGAGCAGCAGAGGAGGTGCTGAAAAACTGCAGAGCGGGCCCTCTCATCTCTGGACAAGCTCGACAAGTGGAGCGGGCTGGTCACCTTTACTGCGCTCCATGCGCTCTGGCATGGACAGCAGTGGTGTAGCCAGAAACGGGCCTGCTCCCCTGCGGTGCTCCACTCTGGCCAGGAACTGGTGTACATGTAGAGCTGAAGCCTTCATGCTTCCAGTGTGGCTTCTTGCCAGAGAGGAGCAGACACCCATGAGCTGCAACTCAGGGCTCTGCGAAACAAACAGAGTGAACATCCCAGTCATGAAAAACTGTAGGCCCGGAAACCTCGTTTCTACAGCTCGATTGCACATTGATGCAAAGAGGAAGGCAAACCAAGGTCCAGACTTGTAGACAACAAGAAAACCATGGACATCTTCAGGATCCCACCTGCGCTTAAAGGGCTGGTTTTGAATCTGGTCAGATGTGCTGCTACGTTGTGGGGTGGCCGAATACGCGCCTGAAGTCTCGAAACACGAAATGGCCTTGCACCACCTGCCTCGGACAGAATGGTCGAAGCAGTGTAAGCACAGGGGCAGAGAACCCCCGAGCAGAGGCTCACGCAGTGAGGTGGCGAAGCCCTGAAACGTGGCGGCCCAAGTGCTGAGGGGCAGCTCCAGGCGCCAAAGAAAGTCCTGAGCGGAGCGAGGCAACAGAAGCACACATCCTGCTACAGAAGCATCCCAAATAGAATCACGGAACTAGCGCACAAGAAATCATTGCGGATTAAGCCTCCAACCACACTATGGCTCTTCGGAAGGCAGAGTGACTGGCACGGCTACTTTGTATGCACGCTAATGTGCAGCCGGAGGCTCCCAGGCACACAGCACCGCAATGACTGTCAGGACGGCGCCGCCGATGACATAGCGCTGCGATACAGGCAGGCGGGCGGTGACGACACGCGTGGGCCCATGGTCCGGAACACCCGTTTTGGTGGGGCCCCGTTCCAACTCGTAGGATTCTGAAAGTACACCACTCCACAGAGAACGCAGAAGGATCTCACACACAACGCACAGAGGATCTCAGAGGATCAACTGGCCCAAATTTCAAAACCTGACTGATGTACTATTATTCAACCGTGGCCAAGCAGTGCGAGAAACATTGTCATCCGGAGCTCTTCCACAAGCTGAGTCTTTGGCCATGTCATTCCCAGCCGTGCCAGTGGCAAACAACTGGCACGGATTTGAGGTCGCTTTGCTGACACCGGAATAAATGCACAACATTGTACAATCTCTGTCGAAAAAAGCCCAGGTACAAGCAGAAGAAGCAAGTACAACTGGCGAGGTGTGTTCTGAGAGTCCCTCTCCACGAATCAAACAAACGTTTGCACACTCGCGGCAGGATGCCATGATGCGAGCCGGCTTGACAATCCCAGACATTGATGTCGCCATACCGTAAACAATTGGCAGGGCCTGGACAGGACATGCAGTTAACCTACTGTTATGTACCATCTACCAATGCACCGAGACAGCCTTTCTCCTGAAAGGTTGCAGAAGGCGGATCTTCTCCTGGCTACAGATCACAGTGCTCGGTGGGCAGTTGGATGGACGGGTGAAGCCTTTTGCCAATCCGCCAAAGTCCAAGATCAACCCCTAAGCCCTGAGCCCTGGACATGTCGTCTTAGATCCACCCGCAGAGTAAAGTAACGAGACCGTGAGTTCATCGATCGTGCATTACAAAGATCGGTGAGGCTAACAGACTAACACATCAGCGCGCTTGCCTTGTACCGACTTGGAGCTGGCGGGTAAGCAACCAACAACGGTAATCAACGTGCTGCTCGCATCTTAAGCTCCTGCTCAGGGTCAGGAGGCACCGTCGCCTGCCGAGCACTGATTTCACGGCATGTAAGCTACAAGAGTTTAAACTGCACATCAACTTAGAATCTTTGCAAGGCAGTGCGGCGCCCCTACAAAGTCCGGCCTCGTCGTCACTCGGATCTATACATGTGACGAGGCTCGTGCCTGCCCATGGCATCTTACAGCGGGGTCGATAGGACGTGCATGACGTGCAGACTTTCCTTTATCGACGCAGACAGTCTCGGCATGGCACTTGGCAAAGAGATGCCTACAGGACCTTGGGCACTGTCGCGTGTCCAGTTGAATTTCCATGACGGTTTCGATTTACTCACTTCATCAAGCCGCTCTAGACTTTAAACAGCTGTGCCATATCAGGCAGGAAAGTACTGTAGCCACTCTTTTCAAGGAGTTGGTCGAATCCGGCAAGCGGCTTCAGGATTTAGACGAAAAGAGAAGCATGCAGCTCTGCAAACACGACCAAAGCGTATCGTTTCTGCCAGAACCCCCATGCAGCCGGGAGTGCTGTGCGCCTTCCTCGCAGAACAAGAGGAGCGTGCCAAAGGTGAGGCTGCCAGCAGCACAGCAGCAACGCATCAACAGGCTCTACACCCTGAGCAGCTGACTTCGACGATATCAAGAAAACTTTGCCGGCCCCACCCCGTGAGCCACACAGATGCATAAATGAGAAACGGAGATCGGTAACCCCCATCGCAGCCTCCGAGTGTTGTGCAGACGTGGAGTACGGCGCACGACATGTGAGCACAGATGAGCCTGCGATCTGCCCAGGCAGCCCCAAGCTCATGTTGTCATAAGGACGAGGCCTTGAGGTGAGAACGCTGTTCTCTGCATGTTGTGTACAAACACAACCTCAGGATCCTGCCCGGCCCATTCGACAACCTTGCAAGGCCAAGACTACGTCAGTCTCGGTCACTGCAACATGCAGCAAAGAGGCCGTCGAGCCAAACCAAATCCTTAGGTCGCTTCCCCTGCGGCTCCAAAGCTGCCGCAGCACCAAAAGTATGCCACTCACCAGACGTGCTCTCGAGACGTTCGAACATTCACATGCAGCAACCGAGCCGGTCAAGGCCAAGCGTCAAAGCGCACAGTAAGCTTTGGAGCAACGGCAGAGGCCGGCCTGTGGCAAAACTCATCAGAGCAAACTAGACTATAAGTGAGGCCCAGTGAGCTACTGAAATTTCAAGATACTTGTCGAACTCATAGAACATTTGTATCTTGAACTTATCTTGTCTGTATTTAACCAAGTTATAAGCTTACAACTTGATGGCGCGCCTTTTTTCGTTGAAAATCAGCACAATCATTACACACCATGCTGGGCAGACCGCCACAAAAGACAGACACAGACACAGGCAAAACAAAGGCACATGCAGTTTCGGACACACGCACACATGCACCCACACACACACACACAAACAAACAAACACACAAAAGACTCAGACACACAGACACAAAACACCCACATGCACGCGCACACACACACACACATGTGTGTGTGTGTGTATGTGTATATTACGTATATTGCACGCATGCGCACACCCGTAAATGTAGCAATTTGTTACAAACACCAGATGCAGATGCACAAGACAGTTTCGTTCATCTTATTACACAACCCAGCATCCTATTACACAGCCCAGCAAAACGGAAGTGCAAACACTGCTTTACAAGTTCTTGATCTTAAGTATCATAACTCATTCTTCAAGAGAATTATTTTTGTGACCTTTATATGCATTTTCAGATTTGAAACCAAGCAACTCTTTGAACTCACACTGAAGTTGTAAGAGAGTTAACTAACTTATAAATGCCATAGGTTAGGTCTTGTACACCTATGGAACTTATAGCATGACTCACCTTAGTTGTAACATGACTTACCGAGGCTATAAAGCAACTTATCTAACCTATGAGTTCAGCAAGCCTGCTCGTAGTACGGCTTGTACCCAACCCCGAACCACGTCAGCAAGTATCTCAAACGCTGGGACGGCTCATGACGGCTCAAAAATTGCACTTTTTGGATGAATGGTCTGGCGTGCAGGAACCTGCCCGGATAGCCTGGCCTTCTACCAAATAACGTTCTGCCATCCAGCAGGCCAGTACGAGGCTTTGTTGAACAATAGCCGCAGCCTGAAGCAGGCAGATGCCAGTTTGCAGGCTCCAACAAGTTGAAATGCACAAACATAGCATTGAGGGTAAAAGTGAAGGCGAGAGATGCAGAACATGCCGAACATGTGTGAACCGAGTGGCCTTTCCCTCATCGTCTGCAGACACACCCATCAGCATGGGTATGGAACCGAGGACGAGGCCTGTGAAGGGCACACGAAACGGACTGCGCATGCACATTACAGGCAAAAACGCCTGCGTGGCACGGTGCGGCGTGGCTGTGTTTGTGTCTGCACGTGTATCTATCAAGGTGGTTGCAATCGTGCAGGATGAGCCCCTGCGCGCGCAAGTTCAAGCGTTTGCGCTCTTAGAAGATTGCAAGGGCAAGGGCCTCGTAAAGATTGCACGTCATGGCAGTCGGAAGTGCTTGTGTGCTTGCGTCGGCGAAAAGGACAATCATGTCAGACTCAAACGGACGATGCCTGCTAATGGATAACGGAAACTTCCCAAATACCCATAGATGATGTGACCTTGCGACATTGCAGGCACGGGAGGCGGGCCGGGGCTCCGGACACAAAAGCATAGGACGGTGCAGGTGCATGAGTGTCCCTTTTTGATTTTCGACACCACAGGTTTCAAAACAACGATCGTAGAGCATGCTACAGAAGGTTGAACGTGCTAGTCTCGGTCAGATCAATACACGACCAGCCAAGTAAGTCAATCAGCAGACTTGTAGATCTCAGACAGATTGCAGACACACGCAAGAGACAAACGAGCAAGTCAAACAGCAGACCTGTAGATCCAGACAGACGGCAGACAGACACAACAGACAGTGGAACAGAGGCGGACAGATAGACACAAAAAAATACGTGATGTGTGTCAATATGCAGAATCATGTGCACGTATATTGCCGTGTTGGGTGTGCTGCCAGCGTGTGTCAGTCTGTGTGTGTGTGGGTGGGTGGGTGTCAGTGCCTGTGTGTGTGTGCGCGTGTCAGCGCGTGTCGATGGGCGATGATGTGTGTGCATGGGTGAGGGAGTGAGGGAGTGAGTGAGTGAGTGAGTGAGTGAGTGAGGGAGTGAGTCAGGGAGTCAAGGGAGTGAGGCACGGAGTGAAGGAATGAGTGAGGGAATGAGTCAGAGTGTGAGGGAGTGAGTGAGTGAGTGAGTGAGTGAGTGAGTGAGTGAGTGAGTGAGTGGGTGGGTGGGTGGGTGAGTGAGTGGGTGACTGAGTCGGTGAGTGAGTGAGGATATGTGTATGTGTGGATGCGTGCGGATTCGTGTGGAGCGTGTGATGTGTGCGAATGTGTGTCGATGCGGAGTGTGTGTGTGTACGTACGTACGGACCTACATACGACTGTACGTACAGTTTCTGGCCGCAGGATGTGTGTCTAGTGTGAAGCGCTGCCCGGATTCCGCAAGGGAGGCCTATGTAGAGGAGCAAAGCGCCGAACACCTGACAAGAAACGGGTGACACCGTAATCATCTGGATTCTAGACTACTACAGATATCCGACTGAGTAATTGACCTGGACAACGACTACTCAGCCTTGAAAAGCAGGTCGTCAAACGAGGGATGCAGCTGGCTTCTTGGATGTCGCCGAGGCCAAATCAGTATGCAGGTGCTGATCGTTTACCCCCGGTCCGGGCAACCTCACGGACCCTGTGATTGATAGACTCAGGACTCATGGCCGCTGCAGAAACCAAAAATTTATCCAAGATGAAAACAAAAACATGAAGTGGATTCAGCATGCTCAAGTTACGTTCTTCAAAAGGGCAATGCACAACCAGATCGTCAACTCCACAACTTTGCACGATGCATGATACCAGACCCGCTGTCAAGAAGTCAACAGGCCAGCAGAACGCCAAGCACATTCCAAAGCATCCACTGCTGAACTGGAGATCCAACATCCTCAGGCGAAGCTTGGGTACGGTCATGGAATCCAGTTGAGCAGCAGGCATCAAGCTTTGGAGCCAAGATCGAGACGAGCTGATGCCGGAAACGTTCTACTTCGCTCGGTCTTGTGCCTGGAAATGCACGACCAGGGGCTTGCCTTTCCTGTGCACATTAGTTGGCAGTTTCTAGCGGCCTGCACTAGTAGTGCTTTTGGCCCCAAAAGTGTGCAACATGTCTCCGTATTTCCTGGCTTGATGATGCTTGCTAAATGCGGGCCACACCTCGCAGAAGTGCGAGTCCTGCCAGAGTGTTCGAAACTCGCCAACACGAAGTAGTTTTGAAAAGGACGGGCTTGGGCTCTCCTGCCGTGGACACCATCACTGAGAATGCCGAGGACAGGACGACGGCCTTGTGAACAGTCAGTGACACATGGTGATGTGTGCAACAGTGACACTGCTGCGATTCCACGATGCTGCGACAGAGTTGGGACTCCGAGTGGCGCCCCGCGCCACCTCCGGCAAGCCGTGCCTCAAAGCAGAGCCGCAGAGCATCAGCATCATCAGCGCATTACTTTGAACTCTCTGGTGCCGGAAACATAACATCCCACCAAGCACAAACAAACCACAGAGCACGATACAGCAAAGGCCGCCTTTTTCCAGCCTGTGCTGTGAACATTAATTGGGCTGTCAGGCAGTCCTGAGAATAAGATGTATCCCACGCTCGGATGATACCAGATCACTCACCTGCCCCACTGCGAGGAAGAAGGCGGCCCGAACCACAGCAGCTGGCACCTTCCGGTTTTTCGCCGGATCTCTGTCGAGCCAGCCCAAGTCGCCGGCCCTAAGTTCAAAGTCAACGCATCGACTCTGACTCTCCTAGCTGTGCCCCCTAAACCCCAAACGGGTTGTCCGCAGGCAGCGTCGGGGTGTGAAACACCAGCCCTTCCACTTGGTGCTGGGTTTCCTTGCCACCCAGCCTCGCAATCCCGTGTAAAATTGGCATTAACATTTCACAAACAAGGTATGGCTGGGCAGAAAAGGCACAGGTCCCCACTTTTCATCGCGGTGTCACATTCAGAGACTTCCTTGCACTTTGCGGTAAATGCAGCGGGTCCACCATTGGCAATCTGCGGGAGAATGTGCAGCATTTGCGTTTCAGCATCTCCCACGGTGCGCGTAGGTTTCTTACGCCTGTCCCCTAACAAGGCCTGGCATCCCGCATAACGTAAGAGGAGATGCCTGCAACGGACCTTTGTGAGGCCGTTGGACGGTGTATCTGTTTTCAAGCGCTTTGCAGGATCTTGTCCGCGAGAACCTGACCAGTTGAATCGCACCGCAGCCGCCACTAAGGGAGGTTCACCACCAACTTTGCGAGCTTCCTCCAGAAGTGCCACACAGCCTGCCCGAGGTCGATCTGCCATGACATGTGATCGGGCCAAAGCACGCATTCTTGCCGAGGGCAGGCCAGAAGTCCGTACACCTTTCACAGTCAGAAGTGCTCCCAAGTGACTGTCCTCTAGGACAGCACAGTGCGTCGTCGCCTCTGCATCCTCATTGTCTGGTCCCAGCACCTCCAAGTTGTCCACGTTGCCATCAGACTGACCCACCTGGCCAAAAATCATGCAAATAGCACCACCGGTTGCGGCCATTGTTAGGCGTCCGCCAAGCAGAAGCGCCACTGCCAGGGCAACACCTCTTTCAGGTGTGATCTCCTGCCTGGAGCTGGGATGCCCACAAGGTGTTGGCGAGTAACAGAGAGGACAAAGGTTCATTTTGAACTTAGCACATGATCGTCAAGATAGACAGTTCGCTAAGGCCCCTAAAGCAGGCAAAACAACACCTGTCTTGACACACCGTCTAAGTAAGCATCCCGTCGAAATCTGATATCCCTTTGCATCTCCTGAGCTGCGCAATGGACTCCGCGAGCACGCCCTGCTGAAGTTTCTAAGGGTTGCTACTTTTGGAGCGTTGCTTGGTCGGGACGGGCCGAAGTTTGAAATCGACTTGGGGCCATAAACGCCATTCGCTGCTGTACTGTGCTGGACTGCCCATCCGCTACATGATGGACAGCGTGGCTTCTGAGCTGGGCCCTCCAGAGGACTGATCCCCTACGTAGTCGCAAGTCCCATCCCACAATCGCAAAATCTCTCTTCACGAATTCTCGTACGGTCCTGTAGACGGTCGTTCTGCCACCGGCCACGCCACGCAGCAAGGCGTGGCAGGAGCTGCATGTGGAGCCCTGCCAGGGATGTCTCAGTCTCGGAACCCCATTCGAGCACCTTTACAAACGAGAGGATTGAGCTGGACTTTGTTACCTTTGTGCTTGAATATGAGAACATCTTCGAGCTGCAGAGCAGGTCCTTTAGCTGCGGCTTCTGCATGCTCCCCACGTCCGGCAGATGCATCATAAACTGCGAACATCGCAGCCGGGCTGTCATGGTGGCTGAAGTCCAGCTTCCTCACCCATCACACTTCATGACGCTTCCGGACCGAGTACGGATTGCGATACCAAGTAGCATGGAGGCTGCTGCACGATGGAGATCATTGATGATGACATTCCGACTTGCCTGCCAAGCAGCGCATCAAATGTTAAGCTTTCTTGAGGCTGTCTTAGATCAGAGAGGCATCACGGGAACTCATGATGCCTGCAGTTTTAGCATACAAAGATATTTCACGAGGTATTGCGTACGGCCGCAAAGATGTCACGAGATAGTGCGTACGGCGTATGACTGAGCAATGGCACGACTGCTCGAAATCTGTGAATGCTGCGAAGCAAGACAGTTAGGCAGCGCTGCGGGAGTATGGGGCAGCCAGCACAACCCCACCTGGCCCTTGGCAGAGACCGTGGCTGCATCGCCACGGACAGTCAACGTGCCGCCATAATCCTCACCTGCATAACGAGGGCCTTTTCACAATCTGTACAGCAATTGCCTGCATTGCACAAGAAACTGTGGGACATTGTAGGAAAACGGAACGAGTGCTCCTGGGTCGGCGGGGAAAGCAGCTTGGGAGGCGATTGGGCAAGGATGGGAAAGGCATACCAGACATCTTTTCGGTTTCCACCCGACCTGGCCTTGATGCAGCTCATAAAGCTCGTTGTTGGAGTCGCGGCAGTACAGAAGCCCGCTTTCCTGCAGCATTAGAAGCAGCAGCAGCTCGACTAAGCAGACGGTATGTGATCCTTGCTGTATTCTCACTCTGGGAGCAAGCTAGGGGCCCGGCGCGCTGAAAGTACAGGGCCTTGTCCCGATGGTACAGCCACCTCTTGGCAATGGTTTGGAAGATTGCCGGAACCGAGAAAGTAACTTCGTTTCACTGGGGTCCTACCTACTAGTTCCGGTGTTCCGGGCCGGACATCCTGCTTTTGCCTGCTTTTGCCTGCTTGCTAACCAAACCTTCAAAGTGCCACAAGTCCCGACTTTGGGCGCCCACCCAGGCATCTCCCGCAGTTGCTCGAAGCCCGGCGGAGCTGGCTTGCCAGACTGTGCCTCACGGTGCGAGCCCGTTCATTTCAGCTTCGGAGCTTGATCGGCAACCCCACTCGAGATCTTCCATGAAACTTCGATGTCTGCGGAGCGCCGTTGGTTGAAAGGTGGGAGATACGCTCTTTTCCGTCGTCGCCGGGGAAGGGGTGTCGTCTGTGCCTTCGCAAACTGCTCACGTGGGTGCGGGGCCTTCTCGACCGGCATCGACAGCAGTATCTGAAACAGCGCCGAAGCCCTCAAAGTGTCGCTGATTCGTGAAACTATGATTGTTTCCTCTCGCTCTGCCCAAGCTGCGAGGCAACTACAGTAACTACAGACGGAAGTGGCAACTAGCCGACGATGTACACTTCGTGAAAATGTGCTTGGAAAGTCAAGGTCGTGAGCACGGGCTCGGCTGCGAATTCTGAAACAGTGCAGAAGGATGGAAAGCCAGGGGGTGCACCAATCACGACTGCTGACTTTTAGTTGTGGCCAAACAGAAAAGTTCTTGTCAGGAATTGCGCGTTGCCTGTTTGTGAGGTCATGGTAGCAACAGCCACTAGAAGGCAACCACGGAAAAAACTGCCACAACATGGACCTCGCCGCTGGAACGCAGGAAAACCGGGATGATGATGTGGGGGGAACTTGGCTACAGAGGTAAATGCATAAATATGCATGTGTATGTAGTGAGAGACAAAAATATGCGTGTGTATGTAGTGAGAGAGACAGGGGAGCAGCAGCAAATCTGGTCAGGGTTATGGCGAAATGATGCGCTACTACTGCTGCCACTACTACTGCTGCT